GTAATAAGTCTTTACTAATTAAAGGACTATGTTTGACATATGTTTGACGGTAATTCTTGCCCTCTTAGTGAAAGTTGAAAGACATACAAATGTTTATTAATATAGTTCAAAAACCACTCAAGAATGATATAGCAGTAGCAATTTCAACAGAAATAGAACTCGCTGAATTGCAAAAGTTCATATGCATAAAACCAAGATCGTTTTATATACCGCATAAAATTTTCTTCTCAATACAAAACTACAGAAATCTTGCATTAAAGTTAGCATTTTTGGTCACAGGCAAGCAACCAAAAATAGGTATCGATAACGAACATTACGGTACAACTCTAGAACGAGACGCGAGGCGTCAAAACGCACGACCGCAACTATCAAAGAGAAATCTTTTCCGTGTATCAATAACGTCGATCGAGCCGTCGACTAGACACATTGCGCTCTTTATGTCGCTGCGATGTCACATTATACTCCGCCATGTCATATACACGATACGTGGCAATATGTTTAAGATATTATCAAGCTTTTGAATACCTATCTACTTAATCATTTACGTCTCAGAGCTCGTTTTAAAACTGTTAGGATAGCCGCTAAGTATGCGCTAGATAAATGTGAACATATTTTAAGCGTTATTTGTGTAAAGTACCTAATATAACTATTGTAGGTACTATTTTTTTCGGTAACTTATATGGAGGCGATAAAAGAGTCGCTTATCCGTTAAAAACTGCTTTTTTTAGTAGGTAATACTTAGAATTTGTTTAGGTCATTCCAATTCGAATCTCGAATTGTTAAACTTGCCATCTCTTTGCGAGCTTTTGCTAAACAATGCTGTTTCATCTCAATCGTCATAATTTTATCTAATACATATATAAAATTCTCGCGACACAGTTTTCGTTGCCAAAATCCTCCGAAACGGCTTGACCGCTTTTGATGAAATGTTTTGTGCTTATACGGTATCTATGAGAATAGGCCAACTTCTATTTTTCATTCCCCTAAATGTTAGGGATAGTCCGGCCCATTTTTTTTTTAATTTTTCGACATAAATTTTAATTTCTATTTTTTTTTTTATATAACATACAAAAATACGGTTCAGCTAGTAGTTATATATTTGCCTATTAGGTGTCCGAAATACTTAGCTATTTAGAATTTACTTAACCTACCCAATACCCAATATTTAAATGTAGGTAAGTATTTACGAGGTTTGAGAACTTCTTAGTTTTAATCCATGAGAACTAATGATAAAAACTTTAAAGTTCACTTATTTAGGTATCTATTTCTTCTACATATTTCCAAGGTTAATATTTGCATACCTTAAAAATACACAATGTCCATTAAAAATAGTACCTACCTACGCAGTAACAGAGAGACAACTAAATGACAATAACATTTTCAAATAAGCCATCTATTGGCAATACTAAGTTATCAGTAGCTCAGTGTATCACACAACAAACACCCACGCATCTAAAATTATTCATAAAATCTCAACAATGGCGCATCGTCTCCGTGTGGTTAGGGCGTGAAATTATTTTCTTGGCGTATGCAGATTAGGGGAGGGTGACTGGGGGTTCACGGATTAGTTCCGGTTTACTTTTTATAGGATTCCGATGATAAATGTTACCATTGGATAGGCTAACGGGTGGTGCGTGTAACGTATCCAAATAAGCTTTTCAAATAGCTTATTATCGTACCATTCACGAAGTCGACGAAGTGGAATAAAAATAGCAAATAGTCTCTGGGACTTGAGAATAGAGTATAGATCGAAATGGATTTTATAGTTTTTAATGATAAGTATTTACATTTGCTTCTTCTTTTCATAGAATATAACTAAATGTATCGTCTATGTAACTGCTTTTATGTGAGGGGATAATCATCAAATGACTTCTGAAGATCGGCCTTGTTGGGCCTCGTCCGTGGTAGTCTATTGGCGCTTTGAGGTGCGGGCGGAACGCTTTGCGCCGTGCGCTCGGTTCTAGTTCTTGTCAGGCCTAACCCTGGGCGAGAGAAGAATTTGATAATTTTCTTACCTACGACAAAAAAAAAGAGATCTAGATAGTAGCAGAGAACAAAAAACGACATCTTTATTCAAAGCACCCTAGACGCTCAACTTTACCTATTCTTTGCTGTTATTGACAAGCTATTATCTATGTCACGTCAAGAGTTGCAGCTTCCGTTCTATGCGTTGTAATTAACTAATGTAACGCAAACATGACATGACGATGAAGCGTTTTAGCGTAGGTAAGGGTGACAGAAAGCTTCTTCAATGTGACTCATTTCTTGGAACGTACCAGCTAAGTCCAGTCAGACAATTTGATCGCTTGATTTGACAATTTGATTTGACGTAAGGAAATAAAGATCGATTCAGTTTCGGATCAGATCAAGCCCTTTAAATTGTGAGCTTTTTATTAACATTACAAAAGGTAAGGCATCTTTTGTTACAAGGTATCTACCTAAACCGAACTTAGTTTTTACTTCCTCCGTAGATACGTAATAATTTGGCTGACTGTACATCATTTTATCGAGTTACGATTGTTGACGTACGATAGTAACATGTGTCGCCACCCTTCTATCACATCACACACGCTAACGGTTTAGGAGTCAGACAAAAAACGAGGAAAGTTGCCGAGCAGACGGGCGGATGGACGATTGCCGATCCCGAAATATGATTTATAGATCGGGCGTCATGGGCAATGCGCTTTCTATACGTCATGGGACATGTCACCGCCTCCACCGCGGGCAAAAGAAAATTGCCTATAACTCCTATTCAGGACATTAATCTCCGATATTTTCAAATTCGAAACAGTTATAGAAATTCGTGCAATGTAGCACTTTTCCAAAATTCTGTGCTAACAAAGCTGCAATTTTCATTGCAAAAATCCAATAATTCTACCTTTGCTGATTCAGAAATCAAAGGGTTCTATCTATGGCTGGCACAAATTGTTGTTTCGGGTCCGAGTGTGATGTGTATGTGAAATTGTATGTTTGTAAACGAACCCGCGACACAAGAGAAAATCCCAGTGTGGGGTGGGGCAACTTTTTTTAATAAAAGAAATTAAAGGCATTTGCGTTTACGATACTTCACTATTATACTATATTTATAATACAAGTATTGGTGAATAACAGTGAAAAATAAAAACCTACCTACTGATCTACCATCAATATAAAAGTTTCCTTCTTCAAAGCGTCTTCTGCTCTACATCAAAGTGCGTGAACAATATTTCTCAGCACGGACCGAACATTTGTATCAAATCGAACAATAATCGCTCATATTGTCAGTTACAATACAATTTGTTTGGAAACTTGACGCGTGAGAGAAATAATAACAAATGATTCGCGCCCTAACACCGCCTGGCGTTGAAAGATCACGCCTATTGCTCTCTTGCTGATGAAAAAAGTATACAATATTACTCAGTAAGATACATTAAGTTTGGAAGTCGTTATGTAATAGGTGCCTCCATACTTACCTATTCAATTCTATACTTGGTAGGTACTCAATACTCAATATCTTTATTGATTTACCATAAGTACATATAAATGTGGTAGGTAATCTCTGTTTTTATATCTTAAAATATCTAACTTAAATCTATTTAAATTAAACTTAAATGTAGCTATGTAAGTATTCGTACACATACATGTACCTACCATAACTTACCTACAAACGAATTAACATTTTGAATAACCTATGTACCCACCTAATTAAATAATAATTAGATACATAGTTAGGGTTCTCTGTTATAAAATCAGTAAATCGTAAATTACCATCTTGGAGTAGCAGCTAGACTAGCGTGACCTTCCGCCTGATGAATACCAAACACGGATGTTTCGGAAGGTCCTACCAGTCATGGATTTAATCGGAGGAACTTCTCTGGCGTCATTCACTGAGAGGGCCACCATGTGAACGATGCGGACGGCGGAGAGGTCTCTCGCTTTACCTTAGTTCAGCGTATGGCACGGAGAGAAAGGAATTGGGAATTGGAAAAGGAAGTTCCCTCCATCTGCGAAGTAGTTATGCTAGGTAAGATGTAGGCAAAGCGCATGAGAGCACATTCGTCCTCACGCCCGACTCGCCTCAGAAATGTAAGGAATTACGCAGTGATCTCCGGCCACCGTAAGCACGGGTCCGCAGACAACGAGCAAGGGCTTAGCAAACTGTAAATATCTTTTATCTCCGTTTTACCGTAAAAGACTAACAAGATCATCGAACATCAGCGTATCTTCTGGAAGAAAAGTAAGTACCGTGGAAAGTTTACCGTATTGGGAAAATGATGAATAATAAAAATAAAAACTTAAAATAAAACAACAACTTTAAACTAAAACATTCTTATTCTAACTTATAAAAAATACTTGATAATTACAATAAAAGTAATAATAGCTAATTTTAATAACGGCAATATTTAAAATGCTTAATTTTGCATATAGCACGCTAGTATATTGTTGCCAGATCAAACAATATTTTTGTAAAAATACTTTCACACCAAAAAATATACAACCAACATAATCTACTTTCAAAACGTGATACGGTTTTAATCACTGAACCAACGTATATTAGTTATCCTCGAGTAACATTAAATGATATACCATATCTTATATTTTAGTAAAATTAGACACAATCGATCTTGAAGTAGCAACCCCGCACTGTGTCATCGCTCGCTAGATGTTCGTCTTGTCACTTCTTGTCATATTTGAATTATAGTTATGTTGGTGAAGTTTGTTCTCAATACCTGTTCCTTAAATAACAGGTAATGAGAAAAAATCACATTCTTCTTTTTAGTATTGTTTTTAGGCTATCACTCGAACTGTGAACTCATTTATACTGTGACTGTTATCTGACCTGTCACTTAAAACTATATTGTGATGCAAGCTGTGAATTACCTGCAATTTGAAAGCTGTGAATTACCAAAATTACATTATTTGTAATAGCTGTTACTGGTCCCTACGAAAATAACTGTTATCCATACCTGTTCCTAACACCTGTGACGATAAATATGGCTCACGCCTAGTTTGAAGATGTTTGTTGCAGTTGACAGTCCACGTTTGACATTTACTACGATAAATCAATAAAATGTGAATGTCAATAGAATTAACTTTTTCAGTAAACTGTCAAGTGTCAACAAAATATATAACAGGGGCAGTATTTTTTTTCATACTTTAATTGTATTCTGTACATTACGATTGAAGCTCGGTTCCTTGGCAGCACGTCGCTTTTTATCATCGATTAGTGTTTGTAAACACTTCCCAATATGAGATGGACGGTGCACATCGAGGGTGGTCCCATGCGAGTAAATCATGCAGCGGTGTGCATCGGCGATAAAATATACTCCTTCGGTGGATATTGTTCCACTGAAGAATATAAAGATTGGGAGCCAATTCCAGTCCATGTTTTGGACACAAATTCGCTGAGATGGGCACCAGTCAACTATAAAAGAACAGATGTTGCTCCTTTTCAAAGATATGGCCATACTACTGTCGCATATGGAGACAAGGTGAGTGAAAATAAACAAAAATCAGCTGTTAGATTTAGATTTGTATGACTTATTTGTCTTTGTCTTGCTCTACTCACTGTTTTATAAATTAAATTTATTTTAGAAAACTGATTTTGTTTACTTATTTAGACTCAAGTCGTTTTTTTCGACGTGTGTTAAATATTTATAGATCTTTCTTTGCTCGAAACATAAGGCGATCTAGTAAATTCACCTATCCTACATTCATTTAACTGTAACTAAGTTATGATATTTTATTTTATTGTATTACCTAATTGAAATACAGTTCAGTAGAAAAATGTGCAAAAATTTGATGAGGAAAAAAAAAATTAAATCATTTTTAACAGTACTTCCACATTTCTCAGTTATCTATTAAATTTTAATAGTACTTACTAAATTTTGGCAAATACTCAATATTTCTTATTTCCCAAGCAAATTGTTGGCTCACATTCAGTGTTAAAAAATACATTATTCAACAAAACCTCCATAATAGGTCTAAATTGATCTCAATTGGCAGTAATTGTTCACAAGATGATAGACAAACTGATGACATGACTGAATGCTGCTCAGATCATTTCATTTGTAGGGGCCCAATTTAAAATGCATCAAAAATGAGAAGTTTAGTAGTAGTGTAGCCCATTTTAGTTCAATTTATCCTTTTACTACATAGTCAATAACAAGTGTTACATTTACCTGTTCTTTATCAAATACCTCCTTTGTCTGTTCCTCCTTATGGTGTTATAATATAATACTATATTTTTTTATAATAGCTACAATCTCAGTGTGAAATTGTCATTAAATAAGTACATATAAATTTTTAGTTGTAATAACTATAATGTAAGAAATGATAAGAAACTAAGTGCCATACAAATAATGAATTTATTATTAGTTGTATAATAATAATGTATGTTAGTTGCTGCACTTAGCTTGTAGTTTACCAGAGTGACTTGGTTTACTGGAGTTTAAAATTAAATGTACTTTTTGCAAAAATATGTAATTTCTTTTCGTATCTACATAATTTTTAAAACACTACACTTATCATACTAATTATTTTAGTGAGGGTAACTAACAACCTGAAACCAATATTATTTTTAATAGAAATCAGGTACTTATTATATTATAGGTAGTCAATACATTTCCTATGTCTAAAGTTTATAAAATATTTCCCTATAAAAATAAGATAGGTATGTTCATTCTTGAAGAATAGGAATACCAATGAAATGTATTCACATGATTTCTATTTATGTTGCGTAAACATTGGGTGAGAATAAATTACCATGCTTCCTAATACTTATATAAATAGGTACTTACATAACAATGCATAACTATCATAACATCAAACAATTAACATAATAATTTACACCTGTTTTAACATTAGGTAAAAAGTAGAGCAGGCACTTTGTTTTCATGAATATCATAAAATATTGTCCAATTTATTTGTGTATTTATTGTGTCCCTTCATAAAATACTCATATATAGTACAGTAATTCCGTATTATTTAATTTAAAACCAATATTTGGAAGAATATTAGTTATGTTCACTTTGACGCAAATTAGTAAGTTAATCTTAGTTCTTAAAAGTTATTAATCATTTCATCATAAGTAAGTCAATAGACCTCATTGCTTACGTTTAATAATTTATTAACAATTTATTATGAGACTGTAAGAGCAATGAATAACAATAATTTATCATTAGAAGTATAAATAATATCTAGCACTAGGATGCTGACTTTTCTACCTTTCTGTATTCTGTGCTCAGAAAAGGAATTTATATGTTACAGGTTTTTATGTGGGGAGGCAGAAACAATGCTGTAGCATGTGACACCCTGTCCTGTTTTGACACAAAAACATTAGAATGGACTACGCCAGCAGTCTCGGGGATGGTGCCTTATGCCAAAGATGGACACTCAGCGTGTGTCATCGGCAACAAAATGTACATTTTCGGAGGTTTTGAATATCTCACAGATCAGTATTCCCAAGAAGTGCACTGTCTAAATCTTGACACCCTTCAATGGAGTTATATTGATGCTAGAGGAACAGCTCCATCACATCGTGACTTCCACACTGCTGTTGCAGTAGACAAGAAAATGTACATATTCGGCGGGAGAGGGGATTTAAACAGTCCTTACAACTCGCAAGAAGAAATATATTGCCCACAAGTATTCTATTTAGATACGGTCGAAGAGAAATGGGTCGCTGTGAATCCTGGTGGCACATGGCCCGAAGGAAGACGTAGCCACTCATCTTGTAAGTATTTTCTTACCAATTCATGAAAAAGGTGTAAAAAAAATAATAGCCTACATTACCTAGTAATAATAAAACATGTTACGGTTTCAGGGCTCTACAAAGGTTACATGTACATTTTCGGCGGCTTCAATGGTAACTCCAAGACACACTTCAATGATCTCTATAGATATTCAATTAAAGAGAATATCTGGCAATTTATTAATGTAGGTGGCTCAGTGCCTTGTAAGCGACGACGTCAAGCATGCCTAATTCATAAAGACGTTGTGTATCTATTTGGTGGGACAAGGTCAGTATTCAGTTACTTCAGTATAAATTAACATTAGGTATTGTACTTCTGGTGTCGCATAAACTATACGGTAACAATTTAGCATTTCATTATTATGTAATTACGTTTAATATGATGTAGGTGATTTATTAGAAAAATGGTCACTGCCGCAGTTATCGAATAGGAAGTCTTGAGTTCAAGGATTAGTAGCAGGAAATCAGGGTAATTTCAGAATTCAGTCACAGTCTCACTACGGGCGTCGGGGATCAAGGGCCGATCTCCGGCCACCGTAAGCGCGGGTCTGCGGACGGCGAGTAAGGGTAGATCACCGCCCGACCAGAACCAGACCCGAGTATACGGCGCGTAGCGTTCCGCGCGCGCCTCAAAGACCACTACAGACGGGGCCCTATAGGGTTGATATTCAGCCGGGGTTGCGGGGCAAGCGCAATAAGGCACCGCGACCCAGATCCCGCATCCCTTGGCACTACCTATATGACGGAAATAGTGAAAATGAGCCTGGTCCAAGAATAATTGATCACAATTATTAGAAAAGCAGAAATAAAATAAGTAATAAATAATTGTTTTGGGAACAAAGTAAAGTTTTCTACGATCTAATGGTGTGAATGTTCAACAATAATCCGGGGGACCGTACCTTTCTTTTATAAGCCCGAAAACTTGGATTGCGCAATGTAGGATTGCTGACATCATTATTTGATTTTTTATCGTACGTCGGTCTTCAAATGTGCGCCGTCTGTTCCATGCCTGTTATATGCACATCACTCTTCGAAAGTCAATCCTGTTGAGCCCGTCAATGCGTGATATGAGCGAAGCCAGAGCCAGTGTGAAATGCGCCTTAGTTGTAATGTGTCGAAATTCCCAGTCAGCCGGGTAAACATTACGGTGTGATATGCCAGTGAGTGAGCCGGAATATTTGTCGTGCTGTCCCTGTGTGAATCGCAAACTACTGCAAAGACAAGTGTGGCAACCGTCTGCATTGGCGAGAGGGGATGCCTTCTTCTGATCCATGTACAGAGGTGGTGTGCTTAGACGCTGGCGAGGCTATGCCGGCTTGCACGTTTTAGGTACAGGCCTATGATTCTCACTGATAAAGCCGAGGATTAGCTACGACTTCTTAGCGTACAAGTGATGGGAAAAGTAGATCACGATGAAGATGAGGCAGCTTATCTGCTCCGTCAAGTAAAATACCCTAAGATCGGAGAAAAAGAGGTAATACATAAGAGGATCCTCCAATCAGGCGAGGTCAATAATATTGAGCAGTTAAACCAGTACACGTATTAGGTTTTTCTATCAGTGTTAATCTGCGCGAAAAAGTAAAATAATTGCATAGTCATCATATGACATTTTACCCTCGATTTTCCATATGTCACGCAACTAATGTATCTATATTTATACTTTTTCCGCAGCCCCTGTCCTGGTAATAGTAATCGTATCCCAGAGAATGTGGACAACAATCCAGAGAGATTAATTGACAACAGTGATCTGCACCTACTAGATTATCAACCATCTCTTAAGACTTTATGCATCCTCGTTGTACTGGAACACAACCTCGACACTTCAATACTCCCTCGTGATATAATGTAAGTTATGATTACATTATAATAATTATTATTGTAAACAGAAGCTGTACTTGAACAATTCTAATGCTAAACTATAGTATGACTATACTAATAATAATGATTACTGTTAGCAGCTTAGCTCTTTAATTGGCTATGATGAAGAAAACAATATTATGGTTATGTATAATTGAATAATAATAATGTATTGTTCTATTTCAGCATGGATATCCGCCTTATGACACTGCCAAACCGCATCAGCAGGCCCATCAACCAATCTGGTTAAAAATACTAAGTATTATTAGCAAATGCAGCTGAATATTTATGAAGGAGCTTCACATTTATGTTAAATATTTATTTAGTTATTATGGTATTTCATTTATACCTGTTTATATTATACTTTGTAAGTTAAAGCAAAAAAGAAATTCTTTTTTAAATATCTACTATTACTGACATGAAACTTGTTAAATGATGTTTGGATTCAAACAAATAACAATATTACCAAAATGAAACAGTTATTAAAAATAAAAGTTTTTATTCATCCTCCTTAACAATATGTCTTTGTCGTTCTGGCACGAAGGGAATCGCGCCTGGTTTGCTGTGTGCGCGTCTGTTGCCTTCTTTCCTCTTAGCCTTTTGTTTAATAGTTCTAATTTCATTTTGTGCATTCAAGATGTGTTTTGGTACGTGTCTATGACGTGCTATACGTTTCACTTGTGGATGGTTGGCAAACTTCTCCTTCAATGAATCTGCATAATTCAATGCTGTTCTTTCACGAGGCTTGAGCTGAAAAACAATGGTAAAAAAATTACTTAACTCCTTAAAAACCGACATGAAACAACCACAGCAATATGTTGTCTCGCACTCGCTATGTGTGAATGAGATTTCCGACGGCGCAATCTTTCCCCATACCTCCCCAATCCCAAAATCTGCGAAACGCTAGCCCCAAAAGACAAGTCTGGCTGTCCATGGGTGCCAAAGATTGCTTGTCATCAAATAAGATGTGATCTTCCTATATTCCTCTATACAACTTTGAACTTAGTACCTTCCAAATGTTTATGAAGAATTCAATATTTGATAACAAGTCAAATGCAATTGTAGGGTGCCTTTTATCAAATGTTTTAGTGACTTGTATGAGAAATTGTTGAATAGATTTATTATTTTTAGATTACTTAAAGTTAAAAGACAAAATAATATTTTCGAAGCAAATACCCAATTTATTTCAATAAATTGCTTGAACACAGCTACAGATGCCACTTTGAATTGAAAATCCCAATGTTTGAAGCTATAAATAATTATGTTAATTTCAAGGTATTAATATTGCAATAACACTCACCACACCAAGTTTTTCTGATGCTCTAGCTTTCCACATCCTAATGTTCATTTCATCAGAACCAGATAGTATGTACTTATTGTCTAAGGTCCATTTAACACAGGTCAGTCTTTGCATTCTCTTTGTGTGGTACACATCTCTAGAGTTTCCTTTGAGACTTTCAAATATTCTCACAGTTTTGTCATAGCTTCCAGCCACAAACTCCCTTCCAGTTGGTGCATAATCCACATCTATGACAGCTGATGTATGTCCCATGTGCACATTTATAGGTTGTCTTAGTTTCCTTACATCAAAGGTGTATAAACTGAAAATTAAGAAACATTATTAAAAAAGTGTTGCATTATTTTCCCTTACTAATCTTACTATGATATGAAAATAGTTTCTTATACATACTTATAATCTTCATTAGCTACTGTAAATATGAAGGCTTCCATTGGATTCCAAGACAATGCATTAGACCTTAGCTCCATAACTACTTTCCTCAGAGGTCCTGATTCACGACAATCATACAGAATTACACTCCTATCACTTGCACATGATGCTAGCAAGTTTTGTTCAACCTGAAATCAAAGATAATGTGTGATGTGAGCAAAGTATAATTGATTTTAAAGTAATAAGAATAGACATGGTGGCCCTGAGGTTAAGGTGCCTGCTCCTCATGCATGAAGGTGCGGGAAGTATTAGTCAAAACCTGACAAGTAGCAATGTGACTTTTTCCGAGTTCACTTTCTATGATTATTTAGACACCACTGAGATAAGGGGAAGGAAAACATCATGGACCATGACTTATAATTTCTAATTTAATTTAAAGTTTGAAATCACCAATCCACCTTGAGCAAGTGTGTGATTAAGTCTCCGTGTAAGGAGAGGGCTTTGCTCAGCAATAGGCACTTATAGGCTGATAATGATAGGAATAAAATGTTCAAATGGTTTTATTTCAAAACATTACCTGATTAAAAGAAACATGATGAAGACTGTCCACTCCCCATTTGAATACTTTCACAGGCTCATTTCTTGTATTCTCCCATAACTGACAGTGTTCACCACATGTAGCAAATATGGGCTTACTTCTATGATGAGTTACTCCAGTGACTACTGACATGCTGAGTAAAGTATTAACAGGTTCTTCATCATCAGGAGATTGCACTTCAGATTTCCATGTTTTAATAGTTTTGTCATCACCAACACTGGTAAATGTGTCTCCTTTGGGTGTAAAACATAGGGCACGCACCCAGCCTTCGTGAGCAACAAAATTTCGTGTACATTTTCTTACAGCTAAATCCCATAAACGAATTTCACCATCAAAAGCTCCGCTAGCGAGAACTGCAAGTCTGCTTGGATGTTTGGCAAGACTGGAAACACCGTCTCTATGTCCATCAAGGTTGCCTATAAAGGGCTTAGCGAATACTCTCTCGAGTTTCACAGCATTCATTGCACGAACATATTCACGTGGCGCTTCTAGAGGATGCAGAGTTGGATCATAGTTCCGAGGTACTAGAATGATACAATTTTAATTACGTACTTTGTAAACAAATTATTACTGAATGATTTCCAACAGTCCACGAAATATAACTAAAATTCTTACGTTTGTGGATATCCCGTTTTGTAGCACGCAGATAATCATCAGGATTACGACTAATAACTTTAATCTTCATTTTCGACATACTGGATTATTTTGTTTCAAAGAAATGATTAATATTTTGAAAATGGTTTATCACTTCACCACTCTTAACCTCAACAAAATAATCACATGCAACTCTGACAGACTGACACTGAAACTTGACATGACAAGTGACAAATATGACATTGACATAACTAAAAGTAGGGTAGCCCATAAAAAGACAGAGTTCGAATATTATATGTTACTTTTACAATAAGAAATACCTAGTATCAAATACTCATTATGAAAGGAAAAAATCTAAATAGATACAGTAAAATCGACTATTAGAATCTCCAATAATCGGAATAGTTCCTAAGTGCAATTATGTTTTTTTAAATATAGTATTTTTGATAATTGGTGATAGATCGACAAAACCTGACATGTCACGGATATGTCATAATTTCTGAACCGGCGGGAAATTTTGAAAATTATCACAAAATGCATCAATTTTTCAACTTTCAATTACCTTTTTCATCGTATAGCGGTTTTTTCAGCACTTGTGGTTATTTCATATAATATGTTATAATATAGATAATATTATATTATATTATTATTAGATGCTAAATGTTTGGAAAACTTTTTTCTTTTTCATCCCTTTCTTTCAATTCCCCCACCGAAAAATATCAAATAATCATCTTTCGTTCCATCACCAGATCATAAAAATGGCAGACAAATTTGAAAGCCCACGTACGACGTTTACAAAACTGCAAGTTTTGCATTTTGTTTAAACGTTTAGGTATTAGTAGAGGCCTACTAATACCTAAACGTTTAAACAAAAAAAAAGGCGCAGAGGCCTCAAGTTGAGGTGAAGAAGTCATTAAGTCACTGATACTTTGTATTATTTTTTTTTTGTAATGCCATGGTCCGCATTACCCCATTGCCCTAATAAATGTCACAGCTTTTAGTTTTTAATCTGTGCTTTTTTTGTGTGACATATACATATTTTGACGGAAAACAGTTTACCTATCAAATAAATATCACAAAAAGTCTGATTATTCGTGTTTGTTTATTAATACTGTGCGTTCAATCGGTGAGTATTTTTATTTGCAGCATTTTTATTTAATATTTGTGTAGGAACTTAAATTAAGGTGTGCGACTGTTTTGTACATCTGTGATCGGTGGATATACTTATACTTAAAAAAATACTAAACGTAATAAACACAAGTAAGCTCATTGGACGTAAAATTATTGTTATGTAAATATGTTAGTTTAATAAAAGAAACTATGGGATTTGTCAGTGTAACAATTCCAAAAAAGGAGCGATGAAGGGCTATTGTGTGTAGTATATTTTATTGTCTTTGATAACTACAATTTATTAAATTGATATGTGATCTAATTACAAATTAATTTTACTCTGTATAGTATCGTCTATTCGCTACAATAAATTAGAAAACTGCAGTACATCCTGATTTACTAATAGATAACTAGACTCCATTACTGGTATAGACACCAGTAAACAGAATATACAGCAAATTAATACAAATTTATTTTCCCTTTCTGAAATAAAATCTGGATAATACAAACATCCAAATTTTTATTAAAGGCTTTAAAATATTGTAATTACTTATGTATAATAAATGCAGAAGAAATTGTCACATGACATAAACATTACAATTTTTTTTATTTATTCTTTAATTCATCAAACCCTATATGAATGCCTTTATTTGCACACTTATTCCGGTTTAGTCTGGTATACAAAACCTAATCTATTTGTAATTAGGTTTGTAACATCTAATATTGTATATCTCTGATCTTTATTTAAACTTAACACTAGAAATATTGTTGAGTGTGTGAGATGAGTCTCTATTAAGTAAATGGAGAGTCAAAGTGTAAATTTTATATTAATATAAAATCTGCGCCTAAGATGATCCACCGACTGAAAGATAAAATTAATTTTACCCCTTTATCAATTTTTTTCTTGTTCTAAACTCTGTTGAAAATTTAAAAATGTGTAAGTGATAAACTTATTAATAAATTGTATTTGGATTTAAACTGGTTGGTACATTTGTGGACTTACACATAATTGGACTTCTTTCTTATTTATGGTTATAAAAAAACAGTAAAGTAAGAGTCTGACTCCTCATGAAGGATTTCATAGCAGTAACATAATATAAAACTTCCAAAGGAAAATGATTAATAAAGTTATAAATATATGATTTTAATTTGTTTAAATTTCTCAATATCCTTAATTTAAAACCAGTGTACACCAATATGATCAATGAATTATGAGGCGATATTTCCTTCATAACTAAAAAATGTTTATATGCTGCAAGTTGGAAGAGAAGATAAGGAAATGCTCTATGTTAAACTGATAACTGTCAGGGGAAAGACTACGTAAAAAACTTTCAAATTAAGTATTAACATTCTTTTTACTGTCTACCTATAAAATATTGCCAGCTATAAGCTTGAGATCGTCTCTCGAACCTCGACGTCCAGGCGTGAGGTGGAGGATAGCTCCCTAACGTGCTCCGCCTCCTGCTTTGGTAGCATAACTGCTTCACAGAAAGAGGAGACGGAACCCCAGTTCCTCTCGCTCTGTACCATGGGCTCGACTAAGGCCGGGCGCGAGAGGTCGCTGCCGCCGATCACTTCTCTGAGGACACGGCGGTGCCCGGGCACTCCGCCAAAGTATGCTCCATTGTGTCCTCTGGGTGGTCCTTACAATGACGACACTCAGGCGTTTCCTCCCGTCGAATCTTAAACTGCAAACTACTGACGCTGTTGTGCCCGGGAAGCACCAGCGTCAGGCGAATGGTGAGGAGGCAATGGCGTCACTCAAGTCAGTCCTAAAAGAGTGGTCTTAACGCTGCTATAACAACGTGCCCGGTTTTCCTCTAGTTGAAATTACATATTATATTTTTAAATCGTAATTTCTGTTTTCGTTAAATCTATCAGATAACATTTTGGATATAGACAATATCATTCAGCATTTAACAAGAGAGCGTACTTATCTATCTAGAAGTTGACATAACCTAATAATGTTTATAGAAACTGAAAGCTGTTTCCCCTCATCTTTTCCGTGAAGGACGATCTTGCCCTTCACCCACTACTTATTCCGTACCTCCACCCCTTCACCAGTGCCTCAAAGAGCCAATAGACCACCACAGACGGGGCCTTACAGGGCTGATGTTCAGCCGGGGTTGCGGGGCAAGCGCAATGAGGAGAAGAAACGGGAGGCTTTTAGTCAGTTAGAGTCTGACACTCCCTCCTGGAGAAGTCATTTGATGATTTCCCCTCACAAAAAAAAAACTTTCTATCAGTGCCACTTAAACTGCTTCTAACAGCGAAATTAAAAAAAACATATATACGGTCGAATTGAGAACCTCCCTTTTGGAAGTCGGTTAAAAAAACCCATCAAATGTGCCTCCCACCGCCAAATTCTTCGCAATTCCATAAAAAAATTAAATTTTGTGTCGTGACGACATTGGATCTTGTCATATTTTCAAAAAAAAAGTAGGACTTAAAAAGTTAATATTTAGACTAGTTTTGTTAGTCAAATTATATGCCTAATAGCAAAAAAACAGAACATAGAGCAAACATAACAAGTACACAACAAGACATCTGCGAATTATTATTTTATGTGAGTTAGGAATTCAAGCATTAGATATGCAAAATTATATTTGATTTAATATGCTTTGTCCCACAATTTTAATTACCTACCATTATTTGCATTCTTGAGATGACGTAAAATAAAGATTTTTGAAATCCCATTACAAATTAAAAAGTGGCACACCAAACAAACGCTTTGGCTCTATTTATTTAGTTTGCGTGTTACCTTTCTCTTGAGTGTGTAAGCTTCAAATGTTCAACTCAAAGCTCTAGAGTTTAAAGTGTCGTTAGTAGTTTAGTACGTACGTACCTACTTTCTAGTCATGAAGCAAACAACCCGTTCTAGAGCTTGGAGGAGTTTCAGGAAGTGAGAGCAATATACCACAAAAGCTAAATTTAACTTTTACAATGACTAGTAGAGACATACAGTCATACTCATTTTTCAAAAATTGCATAACACGGGTAACCTTGTATACTTTACCTTTAACATGCTACTGAGATAAATTTATACGATAAATATGAACATGAATTAAAATGAAACAAAAACTTCATGGTGGCCGGTTGTATATCAATGAAAAATCGTTAAGCGTTACTCTAATGTAAATAGCACATATTAATAAAGGACGTCATCTCGTCACAGTAGTAGTTAGATAAGGTCACCGGCTCGCTAGCTGGAGTTGTTCAATGGCAGTATTTTGTTCGTTGACCCGCGAGCGGCTGCGTTGGCGCACGCCCGAATGTGAACCGCGTTGTTCTAAATCCAAATTTTGAAATTTTGATCTCTTTTTGGTTCTGTAGTTCGTAAATTATTATTAAGTAGGTGATCCAGTTAAGTGTTGCATTCATTTATTTCTAAATTATTATTTTGCTGGGTTTTTCCTGGTCCTATAATCCGGTAAGTAAATATGTATTAAAAACATTTTGCATTAAAATCGATTAAACAATTTTGAACTTTAATAGCTTCTGATGGCAATGCCGGGAGTTCTAGATCAAAAGCGCACAAAATTGCTGTACTAAAGTATTCCACGTGTCTTACATATTTCTATTAGTTCAATCGTTCGTTTAGGTCGGATGCAAAATTGCAATACCGTTTGGTTTCCTCATAAGAAAATATTTTTTTTTGCATTAAATATTTTTAACACAATTTTCCTTTGGTCTTTGAAGTTTTATCCATAAAAAATATGTTCATGTTAACTTATTAACTTTGCGCTGAAAATTCTAATAACGAATGAGTCAGAAAAAATATTTTTTTGTTATTAATTCTTGGTTGGACATAGTTATAATGTCTTTAAGTTGTGTGGAGCTTCGAGAAAAATATTCAGAGCAGCAGAACATTATTCGATAGTAACAAATATTTTGTTATCATTATTATACCTACCGATAATAAAGCGGTCGGTCGCCGGACGGCATCCGTACGCGCTAAAAATCACGTCCACCACGCCAGACTCCCCTCATGTTTTTTTAAAAAGAATAATAGGTACACAAATGGACATAGGTTCGTTGTTCACAAGGTTTTTATAAAAGAAACCCTTGTGTTATTGGGAAATATATGATTTAATCTTTTAATGTTTATCTTAAAGCTTTGTCACGCGAGTCACGCATTAGCTCTAAGGTCCCACAGTCCGTAAAAAGGTTTTGTTTCATAAAATGTTGTTTGTGCAACACAGTTTATGGTTGCAATAAATTTTTGGATCGCATATATTGAATCTCACTATCTAAATAAATAAATTGATGCCACCAGCAGTTCATTCCCACTTATTTAAGCTCTTTATAAGCGGTCGCCGGCCGATCGCATGAATTCGTTATACCGCAGTCATTGGCCGACTGAACAATATAAATCAATGTGAAATGTTGAACGCATTGTTGGCCTCTTACGTAATTTAAATAGGCTTTAAGTGTATAAAACATTTTGATTCAATTGCGTATATTATTTAGGTACCTACCTTTGTCATTAAAATAAAGATAGACTGTTTAGTTCCTTCCGTTTCACGAACAAACTTACCTAATTAAAGTATGTTCAAAAATACCGTTCCAAATTTTCTTTTGTTTTAAAGTTCCCAAGAGTTTATTTAACACAACGACGTATGAGGTATTATTTAAAAAGGATTGAAATAAACAGTTATCGGCCGTTGCACTCGAAAGAGTAAAATGTCTACAAAATTACATTCTTAAAATTATTTTTACTGATTGAAATTATTTTATGCATTTTTTACTAATTACTTACTGAAACCTTTTTTCTGTGTAGTAACTTAGGCATTGACCTAAACAGTAAAACATGTTGTCTTGTTTGCACTTAATATTAAGTTAAAAGGTTCTTTAAATATCTTTTGGGGTTTTCCAAACTCACGTTTCAAAAGGTAATTAAGACAGACATTTAAAATGTTATTTTAAAGAAACTTTGTAGTCGCTCTTAAAAATATTATCGCAAAGCTTCCGAGTTCAATTTTACTGTTGTTAATAAAACAATAAATAATCTTATTAATTTGATTTATACTGATTAATAAATAAGTACCTAACTAAAATAATAAATTAAATTCCAATCAAAACCAAATAGTGACATCGATATTTAATTTATTACAACATAAAATATTCAAAAAACTGGTTAGTCTAGCGATTCTTTCGTCACTAAAATATCGCTAAGTCGTTTTTAATCTAGCGGCATTTTACTGGAAAACAGTAATAACAATTTTTTTTAAGAAAATGACAAAATATGAAAATAAAAAACTGCTTTTAAGATAGAGATAGAAACGAAAATCAACAGTTCTTAGAAGTGAAGAAACATAATCATTACAAATCTTGTAACCAAACCACAAACCACTAAATATTTATAATTCACTAAGAAATACTACGAGTGTCATTTCACAGGAATTTATTTAATGTTCCTTTTTGTTTCTAGATTTGCAGCCAATATGGTTCCTAATTTGAACCTGCTGCACGTAATATGTTTCGCACTGTTATTCGATCTGTGCGTGCGCACGCATGCCGAATTATTCACAGCAATAGCTGAAGTGGAACATTTACTGGAGACACATAAAAGGATAATAGATGACCTAGATTTTTATATTGATAAGGAAGAGAAAAGGCTGTCGACGCTGAAGAGGTAATAACGTTTTAATATTTTATACATGTAAAACTAATAAGACTGTCAGCCCGAGTTCTCGGTTTTAGTCACTGGTTGGATACAGTATGAAGTTGCAATGTTCGTCCTTTATCATTTATAAACTGGTATATTTCAGAAGTGATTTGAGGAATATTATAGTATATACTTAACATATCTTGTAAAGTATCTGCATATGTAACTCAGGGATGCACCTGTGTGCATCCACGTCCCTGTGGACTTGTTCTTTATGTTATTTTTGTGTTTGAACTGCGAATTCTGAGCACGTTCTTTTTTAATTTTAAATTCTTATTTCGTATTCGGATCGACTAGGACCCGTTGCCCTAAGTGCCCTCACGACTTACAACACCGTATTTTTCTTTTCGCAGGCATTTGAACCTCTACAAGATGGAACATGAGAAGGCAATGGAAGACATTCCCAATTATTTGGGAAATCCAATCAACGCCTTTACTCTTATAAAAAGACTGACGACTGATCTTGATCATATCGAAGATAGTATTAAGATAGGAACAGGTAATTTTAGTTATAAGAATAACCTATGTATTTATTTTGCATAACAACCCGTTACTCGTCTCATAAAGTAATTTAGTTATGCAATTTTATACTGATATCTAAAGCAATCAGGCATTTCATCTAACCATCTCCCCATATTATAAAGTGCAATACTTCTAATATTCATATAAGCTTGATTTGAATGTATATTAATCGTTTAAACGTGTTTAGAATTGCCTCGTTTATTAGTTGGCCGAATCAACACTTTGATTGAGATCGAGTTGCTTCATTAATTTGCGCGAACTTAAGAACGAGTAGGTATCTAAACAGGAATGGTGACTTTTCTGAATAAGGCTCGACTTGTAATAGACTTAGTCACAGTCACACTACTAATTTAAAAAGCTTTTTGTTTTATTATGCGGAAATTAAAACTGAAATGCAATATTTTTACCATGGATCATTAGATACGGCTTTATTGATTTAAACTACAGTTTGGGTATAATAGTTGAGCCGGTGTTGCGGGCAATAAATCAGCGGCTTCAGCCTGGAGGAGCAAGAGAATGAACGGGAGGGGGTGGGAGGTGATTAGTCCGTAAGAGTCGGACATTCCCACTCGCCATACCCTTGGAGAGATAAGAAATTTCATAATTTATCCTCATCAAAAAATAATAATAATATCTTGTTCCCTGTACCTATTGTCTTCGCAATGGATCTTTTAGGAACAAAATTGTGTACTGCGCAGCTAATCTGCTAATTTCAGACTCGCCAAGATACGTCGGCGGTATTGTACATTTCACACAAAACATTCAAACAAAATCTAAAATTAGAAAAAAACAATAGAACTCAATTTACAATCATGTCAATCACGTGGGAGGTATTCCTACTAATAAATTAGGTACCTGCTTTGCTCCAGGAAAAGCATAAAGCACAGTAATTGTCTTAATCCACACCACTCGGCCACAGCAAAAACATAATAGGCTATTTTATCGCAGATATGTTTTATTGAATGTAACAATAGAATTCTCCCACATGAGTAGGTTAAACTGTAAAGCATTCGCCTTCATTAACATGATTAAGGTTGAATTAGAATCCCAAAGAAATATGGACCTACCACAAATAGCTGTTTCACTGTTTTGCCTGAGAAATATGAAACCATAATGAGGTGTTTATAGTGTGCCATTTACTTTGTCAGGTTGATATTCATTTGTTTTGTAAGTAACAATTTTATTTACTTAGAAGTAACAACTGTTTAATGATAAATATCTGAAGGCAGTTGGGCGAATTATAGGTACTCAATTTTCAATGTATTGTTGTGCGAAAATTGAGTATAGGTACTCAATTTTCGCACAACAATACTCTCTGTAGGTACAATCCACAAATTGCTATACCGGGTACCTATATAAATAGAAAAATGAAAAAAATGAGCCTTATTTTTGTTACTAAGTAAATATTTGTTGTACAGTCTTTTCAAGATGTCAATTAAACACAACACATAATTTAATTAGTGCGTTTACACTTCACAACATATTATTTCGTCTATCCAACTGAATAAGAAGGTTTGTTGTCTGCAGATATGAACGGAACATTACCAAGCACGTGGCTATGCCGTCTGTCAGTACAGAAGACATTATCAACCATGTTTTTAGTTTATTAAGTTCAATTTTGGCACTCCTAGCTGATTAAGTGATAATACATAACATATAATAATTATAAGCAATTTTAATGCATTTAAAATTTTGTAATAAACTCGTTTTGCGCCCGCACCTTCCCCATGACATTCGATACTTAACCTACCTCGAGATTTGCTCAATACACATGAAAATTGTATCTAATAAAATCCCTTTAGTAGCTATTGAGTTTTTAGTTTTCTAATGTACTATCAGTGTCATAAGTGCATGGAGGATTCCAAATCAAAATCGTATGTGCGGCGTTTCATCGCCTTAATAATATACCATGGATGATATAGATGGCGCTAGTATACTAGTGGTATTGAAAAATATACATTTATAGTTTTTGTCAGATACAAAGTTATTAACTTAATAAATTTTTACACAAATTAATGCTACGATATTCCAAACCTTTTTAAAGCAAAGCACGCAATAACCAGGATTCGAACTCGGTAGCATAAAATTTGCCGATGCTACTAGCCATTAGGCCATTGCGTAACCTTGAAATGTATTGAAATTATCCTACTCTTTATTATATTGGACTTGTTGAGCAACTAAAACCCGATCATAAATCTCAAAACAGTTGAGGGTAATTTAATATTAACTGTATAAAAATTAAACCTTTTTGTTCAATCATAACATTCTTTACTATCTTTGAGTGAGTTCAGTTACGATTTGTTTAACAAGTTTTTAATATTTATTTTTATCATGAGTTTGCGTTCAAATATTGATATGGCTACGAGGGCCCAAATAATAGCATTGCATAATCAAAGCTTAAATTATACTGAAATTTCAAGAGAAACTGGCTTAAACGTAAGTATTCTTTTAAAATGTTTCGTTCGTTATTTATTTTATTATCCATGGTTATCGATTACATGAAAATAATAAACAATACACGTCCCTTACAGGTAAAAACTGCCACTTTATGGATATCTAAAGCTGTTTCAAGAAGAGGGTTCATTGGAGCACCGTAGTGGATCTGGCAGAAGACGTGATATTGACTCAGACCAGCTTCAACTTATGGGGCAAGGTTATGAGGCAAATTACTGGAGCATTGTCATCTTCAGTGATGCAAACAGTGAAATCTACATAGATGTGCTGAAAGACGTCAAGAAGATGTGCTAGTGATAACGTTCGTGCAGGACAATTATCCTATGTGTAATGTTCCATAATTGTGCAAGTGTTTAGTCAGTAATCAGACATACGGATTATTCCTTGGCCAGCGAGATAGGAGAAATAGGATCGATAAAAATGGCGGCTACACTAGTTTTTAGAAGAAAATATATTGTTGACTATAGGATTAAGCAATTACAAGACCGGGGTAGTTATAATTTATTTAATGGATAAATGTTCAAACTTAGTGTTAGTAGGATACATTTATTGACTACTTTATAACCAGCAACTGTTATTTACAGTAATGATTTTAATGTTTTACTAAATATGAGAAATAAAAATAAAAGCAATATTAATAGCTACAGATGCTATTGATTGCAAAATAATTAATTATTTATTTATTAATTACTATAAACAATTCGTCCCATATCTAATGAATGCTATATCCCGGTCTTAGAAATGTTATTGATTTAAGGTCTAGCTTCAATTTCTTCCTTGTTCTGGAACGAATACTTAAGCTATGAGCCTTTGTCATAACATGATGCACAAAATGAATCACTTTAGTCAATACTTTAATTTAGTTGCATATTATATAGAATCGTATTATAACACTGCGTTTAAAACTAACTAATAAATGACTAGCACAACACAATTTTGATTTAAAATACTTATTAATCTTATAAAAAGTGTAATAAATAATGTGTCAGTTAGCTGAAAAGTTATTAGGTCAGGGTATACACTATATAAGAAAGAAAGAAATATTATGTTATAAGAAATAAATGTCGGAAATTATAATGTCACTTAAATATGTAGTTTTATTTGTTATCCTTTATGAGAATTAAACTTAGTATTAGTCTTAATCTGTAAGAAAAATATGTTACTTTTACATTAATAGCTAGCACTTATTATAAAAGTTATTTATGTATATTTATTAATATAATTTTATTCTAAAATAATATATATATTTTTGTTATCTTTTATAAATATATAACGTCAAATATTTTATTTATATGTTATTATTATTGATTTTACATAAAAAAATATAAAAAAAACATTTGTTAAAAAACCTGAATTTAAAAATGATAACCCAGAATTGAACCGGTGCCCTTCGACTTCATTATTCTATCGTTCTTATTTATCCGAGCTATCGATCGCATTTTTTAAGGTGTTGAAAATGCGGGTTAGTTTATAACTTTTAATATTGTCTATTAATAATTATTGACGCCATCTTTTAATTGATTTGCTTGACTTGACTTAGATGGCGCTATATTAAGTCCTCGGAAATGAGAAAATTAACATAATTTATGTGTATTTGAATACAAATATATTATTGTTTCTTAATTATTATTTTAACCATTAAAAACCTTATTGTGTGCCTCTGCAGTGTAAAGTATTCAAGCTTTGCAGGGTTATTTTCATTTAAAAGCAGCGCCATCTAGTTATTAATGGTAGCGTTATGCAAAACCTGTCAGTCAATAGTCGACCTTAAGCTCTCCATGCATTTTTGTCACCCTTAGTACATGGAAATATAACCTTTATTCCAGAGTATATAAAGAATATAACCATGAACCATGCAGATGTGAAGTATCCGACTTTAGAAGATTTGGCTGGGGCTGCGCAAGCGCTTACAAGGCTCCAAGAGACTTACCATCTTGACGTGAAAGATTTGTCGGAAGGAAAACTAAATGGCGTGGTTTACAGGTAATTGATTTAAGATAATAATTTTTCATTATAATCATTTAATATGTTCCTAATTTATCTTGTATACAGCTAAAATTATTTTAATACATTTTACATGTGGTAGCGTCGAATGTTTTTTAGATTTCCTTGTGTGACAGTATGGTAGAACGCAATGTTTTTGAGATAAAGTATCTTTTTCTATCGTCACAACCAAACTTTGCCTATTTGTACCTAATTCAGCATCTTCCCACACGCTCGTTTTCATTTTTTTCGCCTTGATTTGTGCTAAAAACTGATTCACTATTAGTAAACGACCTTGAGTTAAGTATATGTCACCATTACACACAAGGCAACATTTAAATATAAGTGCAAATAAGTCCAAAATTATTGCTAACACTTATTACAAAATCAAACTATACATTATTATATTTGTACCGTGAATATGTACTAGGTAAATAATATTTTGCACATAAATACGGGTCAATCGACACAGATTAGATAGCGAATGAAGTGTCCATATTTCCTTCCCGATATAAAAACACGTTGTTATGATGAGAGGTATTGTAGATACTGTTACAAGACAATACCTACATACCACATAAGTTTATGTTAATTACTTTTTTATCTTTTAATAAACTGTGTCATTCGCCAAGTATCTGTCTATCATCGTGTTTTGCTTGTGGCTATCTTTAAAATGACCTGCATGTTACTAATAGGAAATTATTATATTCAAGAATGAAACTTCATTCTTATATACTTCATCAACAATCATTATCAGTCGGTTTCCGTCCACGGCTGGACATATGTCTCTCCAATTGCATGCCACTAAGCTCGATGTTCAGCTCTTCTTATCAAACCACGTCAGCCATAGGTTTTGTCACTCTATCAAGCTGGAGAGTTATCTACACTACGCCCTATTCTGTACTGTATAAAACATAAAATTGGCGATGATGCATTAACTTGAACACAAAAAGAAACTACAATTGTACTATGTAGATAACTTATTACATGATATTTAATGTCTAATAAGTGTTAAGTGGGGTCTTCCAAAAACCTATTTGTGATCTAATAAAAATAAATAGCTAAAAATGGTTATGAATAATGACTTTATTAGGTAGGCGTTGCAAATAGACACCTGGTAACCACTATCAATGATCTCGAATTCTTCATTCCACAACCTGGGGGATGAACTGCTCGCGTCCGTAGGTATTACTTAGTTCTACCACCCTACACGTGTCCCCTGGGTAGTGCTAAACGAGCAGCAAATACGGTGGTAGGCCATAGCATCGGCTGCCGGCTTTAAAGTTACCACCCACCAGACAAAGCCATACCCGCCAAGCGATCCGTCGTGTTCCGGCGTGATGTCTGGTGAAGCCGTACGGTGGAAGTCGGGTCTGAGCGATTGTGTTGCGATGTATGCCGGGTATGATACACCAGCTACTGTCGCGTCGGACGTTTGATCGTGGAGGGTAGCGGGATCCGAAGCACGGTGCTCCGCTGGCCGACCGTAGACAGTTGGGGGCCCAAGTAGTGTGCCAGCCACACACGAAAGGCTGCCTCGCCATCTGCGAAAAATCCCAGGGTGGCCCCATCGTGCCGGTTGGCGTCCGGGCGAGAGGACCCGATGGCGATCCTTGGGGGGGTTCCGGCGTCCCCGCAGTCTCCAGATCAACCCTCCATTGGCGCGGCTGCACTGGTTGTGTTATGGATATCATCGCATCACCTTGCCCAACTGCCTTCTTCCAGCATCCCTATTCACTCAAATTTATATAAAGAAAAAAAATCATGAAACGTACAAAGAGAAGCAAGTGTCGACAGCGGATGCACGTCCTCTCGTTTAAAGTGCACCTCTCAAATATCCGAGGACTGCACTCCAATCTCGTTGCGGTCCACCACCATCTGGAGACCGATAAGCCACACCTGCTTTTGTTGACGGAGACGCAGATTAGATGTCCGTCAGATACGGCGTACCTCAACTACCCGGGATACTCATTGGAGCATCATTTTTTGCAGCGTGCTGGGGTCTGTGTGTACGTCCGTAATGACATCTGCTGCCAGCGTCTCCGTCACCTTGAAGACACAAGTCTGTCTACGTTGTGGCTGTTGGTGGACACTGGTATGGACAAAATTGTTTACGCCTGTGTCTACCGATCGCACAGCGGCGATCAGGAGACGACTCGACTTTTTGACCATCTCAGTCAGGCCGCCGATGAGGCTCTGCTTTGGCACCCTAATGCGCAGTTCGTCGCTCTGGGGGACTTTAATGCTTGCCACCAAGACTGGCTTTACCCATACCAGAGGACCGACCATGCTGGGAGAGAGGCGCGGAACTTTGCGGTTTCGTTGGGCCTTTCCCAGCTGGTTAGGCAAGCGACTAGGGTGCCTGATGTGGTTGGTCATTCTGCCAATTGCCTGGACCTTCTGTTGACCACCGATCCAGACAGATGTATCGTAACAGTTTCTTCGCCCCTTGGAACTTCAGATCACTGTCTGGTGAAATCTTTATCGTCCTTCTCCCCACCTGACTGCGTCTCACGCGGTGAGCGGCGGATGTGGCGTTACAAGTCAGCAGATTGGGATGAGATGCGGCACTTCTTCGCATCTTATCCTTGGCAGCGGGTCTGCTTCTCTTCTGAAGATCCGTCGAGCTGTGCGGATGCTGTTGCCGATGTAATACGTCAAGCTATGGAGTACTTCATCCCATATACCGACGTACCCATCGGCGGCTCGGCTCACCCATGGTTCAATGCCGAATGCGCTCAAGCTGAACAGCGTAAACATTCGGCTTTTCTCGCCTGGGTTAACGCTCGTGACCATAAAGCTCCGGATCTGAGCTCAAAGAAGAGAGCCTTTAACCATGCTGCCAAGTCCTACAAAAAGGCACTGAGGAAGGCTCGCTTCGACCGCATCACCTACATTGGCACAAAACTCTCTGCACAACCTTCCGGTAGCAGAGCATTCTGGTCTCTTGCCAAGTCGGTCGAAGCGAACTTCTGTCGGCCTACACTGCCTCCACTGGTTAAACCTGATGGAACACTGGCTCATACCGCGAGGGAGAAAGCAGGTCTTTTTGCATCACTCTTCGCCCATAATTCTCGTCTTGACACTTGTGGTGCTACTCCACCAACTCTACCTATCTGCGACACCTCGATGCCCGAAGTTCGCTTAAGGAACAAAGAAGTTCTGTGTCGTCTAGACGTGAATAAAGCTAGTGGGCCTGATGGTATACCAGCGATAGTTCTCAAGACTTGTGCGCCCGAGTTGTCTCCTGTATTGACGCGCCTGTATCGCCTCTCATTTAGGACTGGTATTGTGCCAAAGTCCTGGAAGCTCGCCAACGTGCAACCCGTGCCCAAGAAGGGCAGTCGTGCCGATCCTGCCAACTATCGGCCGATTTCGATAACCTCCATACTCTGCAAGATTATGGAGCGAGTGTTGAATTCGCGCCTCATGGCATATCTAGAAGGTAACGATCTCCTCAGCGACCGACAGTATGGATTTCGCCGCAACCGGTCTACTGGGGACCTACTAGTTTATGCCACTCACTTGTGGGGCGAGGCCCTCGAGAGGAATGGGGAAGCTATTGCCGTGTCCTTAGACGTGTCGAAGGCCTTCGATAGGGTATGGCACGATGGCCTTTTGTCTAAGCTTCCAGCGTACGGCATTTCTCCTGGACTGATAAACTGGGTAAAAGACTTCCTGAGTGGACGGTCACTCCGAGTTGTTATCGATGGATGCTCATCAGAGCCTATGTCGACTAATGCCGGTGTTCCTCAGGGGTCTGTTCTCTCTGCAACTCTATTCCTGCTCCACATTAATGATCTGCTAGTGCCTGGTATCCTTGGGTATGCAGATGATAGCACAGTTGTAGAGAGATACCTGCCCAGTGCTCGGGCTAGTAAGAAGCTAATCCAGTCTGAAAGGGAGGCTATGGTAGAGCGTACGAATGTCTCACTTCAGGTAGTTTCAAAGTGGGGCAAAACTAATCTGGTAACATTCAACGCCACCAAAACACAGGCGTGTCTATTCACCGCCAAAAGGAGCCCGTTCACCTTGGCTCCTGCTTTTCGGGATGTATCCCTGGAGTGCACCGACCGCCTTCAGCTCTTGGGAATGGACATTGCTTCAGACCTCAACTTTGGGCGGTTCATTGAGTCCAGAGCCAAGGTAGCTGCTAGAAAACTCGGCGTTCTTGCAAAAGTCCGACGGTACTTCACACCGAGTCAGCTTCTAATGTTGTATAAAGCTCAGGTCCGATCGTGTGTGGAGTACTGCAGCCACATATGGGCTGGTGCTGCGAAATGCCACCTAGCGGCTTTGGATTCGGTGGAAAGGCGTGCAAAGAGGCTGATTGGAGATCCAGATTTGGTTGGGTCCAATATTCAAAGTCTCGAGCACAGGCGCAGAGTAGCCAGCCTCAGTAGGCACACTCTCCAAAATGTATCCTGTAGAAAACCGCAATTTCTACAGGATACATTTTGGAGAGTGTGCCCAGGAATTGCACGATTTGATTCCGCCATCCCAATTTCACCTTCGGACATCCCGGCGTACGGCGAATATCCACCCCTACGTTGTTGAGACACCTGCGGCCCGAACTAAGCGTTTTGCCTCGTCATTTATACCGCGTACGTCGAGGGATTGGAACAGTTTGCCGGCTGCAGTCTTTCCGTCCGAATACAACTTAGGTGTCTTCAAGGCTAGAGTGAATAGGCTCTTAATAAACTAGTGCGCCTTGCCATCAACGATTGCATCACTGCTTAACATCAGGTGGGATCGCAGTCAAGCACTGGTTTATTGCAAGTAAAAAAAAAAAAAAAATAACCGATTGAGAAATCTGTAGTCTATTTTTTGTTTATTACTAATCTTGAACTTATTTTAAGCACCTCAGTTCAGATTAGTTTTTTAATAGAATCCACCATTTTTCGAACCCCCAACTCCACTATTTTACTTAATTTCTTACATACTTTTTAGCTTCCATCACATTTATGATAACAAACATTATTGAATTGTTACTCAACTAATTATTTATTTGATTTCCAGTACTCCAATGAGCGCAGGTGACTGTTACGAACTAGGGCGTGCGTTGTACAACGAGAAAGACTACAAAAACGCTCGCTCTTGGATGTTCGAAGCGTTACGAAAGTACAAGGAAGAAGATGTTTCTTACTCCTTCACTGAAGCTGACATATTAGAATACATCGGATTCTCTTATTACCTACTTGGTAAGCATTATTATACCTTGGCTTTTATTACCACAAGTATAACATAATAGTAACATACTTGCCACCATTACATAGGAATTATTACGAATTAGACTGGTATTTCCGAACTGATAATACGCTGTTCAAGGAAAAATAAGCTCTATGTCAAAGGTCCATAAAGGCACATTTAACTTGTCTGAAGTTGTTTATGTGGCTTTTAAGATTTGTTGTTTGATGCCCCACGCTATATGTCCTCCTCCTCGCGTCGGTTTCCTCAGTGCTGAGGGTCGTGACCACCTCGTGGAAGCAGTGTACTGCGTATTACTCTCCGCCATCTATTTCTATCTGCCGCCGAGTGGAGAGCATCGTGGACTGTAGTGTTGAGAGTGGTGCGAATCTGATCCGTCCAGCGTATCGGACTTCTGCCTCTAGGTCTCTTTCCTTCCACCTTACCAGTGATTAGTAACTTTTCCAAGTTATCATTACCCCTTCTGGCAGTGTGTCCAAAAAACTCCAGAATCCTGCGGAGGCATATGGAAGAGAGCCTTGTCTGGTTCTTAAGCTCCTGGAGGATCGATACATTGGTGCGGTGTGCCGTCCAAGGAATCCCTAGCATTTTTCGCCAACACCACATCTCGAAGGCATCAATGCGGTCACGATCGGCTTTCTTCAGGGTCCACGTCTCTGCGCCATACAAAAATATGGAGAACACCACTGTGCGCACAAGATTGCTCTTTGTTTTTAACGAGATGTTCTTGTCCTTCCATACTTTTTGAAGCTGTGCCATGGCTCCTTTTGCCATCCCAATTCTTCTTCGTATCTCTGATTCGCAAGAGCCATTGTTGCTAATGCCTGAGCCCAGGTATATAAAGCTGTCAACTACTTCCAGATCAAGTGTCCCAGTGAGCTCAAGCTTGCCTGAGCGATCTACAACCATGATCTTCGTTTTGGATCTGTTTATCGAGAGTCCCAGTTCTCCGCTGATGCGCTCCATTCTATTCAATAAGGCGAACATTTCTGCTTCATCTGACGCTAGTAGAGTGGTATCATCTGCGTAACGCAGATTACAAAATTTTTGTCCGCCGACGGCGATGCCACCATCCCAGTCATCACAGGTGTGCCTCATTATGTATTCGCCGTATATATTAAACAGAATGGGCGAGAGAATACAGCCTTGCCGAACTCCTTTTTCAAAACTGAATGTTTTGGATGTTGTCCTTGACTGCTACTGTATAATGACTGCAGAAGTGCAGTTAAATGGCGAGGTACACCCAGTTCCGATAACACTCTCCAGAGACAGCTACACGCTATATGTACATAAGAGCTAAAAATTTTATGTAAGTATATACATTGTTATGAATGCACTATTTCAGGTGATACACGAAGCGCTCTGGAATGGACTCACAAATTGTTAGCGGTTGACCCAAAACACACGCGTGCTAAAGGCAATATACCACACTACCAAAAGAGCATCGCTGAAGAAGAACTTAGGCTTAGGAAGGAACGGCGTGGGGTACGTTTTATTTATTACTACTCCTACTAAATCCTACTGCCCCGGTAATCAAAGCAAACATTCTATGTTTTTATATGAAATATCGTTGTAAACTTAGTTCATAAGCGAAGTTAGCCTTTCATTCATTCAATGTCTAAAATTCTTATGAAGAAGAAGGAACAAGAATATTATACCTTTACCTTACCTTCTAAGCAGTTTACCTAGAATCATCAGATCTTAAGGTAGAGCCATGCTTCGGCATGAATGGGTCGTCTCGACCGGAGTAATGCCACGGCCTCACAGAAAACCGGCGTGAAACAACCACATGTTGTGTTTCGTCGTGTGAGTGAGGTTACCGGAGGCCCAATCCTTCCTCCCGAAACCCAATTAGCGGCACTGATTGTTTACCATCAGGTAACAGGACTGCTCGTTTACCGTCCTAAAACATAAAAAAAAAACATCAGCCAAAATAATTATTGCAACTACGTTACCGAAAGTTTTGAAAGAAATCTTTTGTCCTTGACGATGGCTAGCTGCAGTTTTATGACGTACGCTACGACCAATAGCAGCCAGAAAGCGGGTAGACTAGCTGGTTTATAATAGATAAATAAAATATTTTCCCCTATTTGCGTAATAATCATTTGATTTTTTTAATAAATAAGTCTAGACTTAGTTATTATTACCAGTTTCTAGTATAGTATGTATATATAGTAACAGTTTTATAATAACGGGAACTTAGACCTAAACAAAAAATCAATACAGCATTTAGTTGTAACAAACTATGTTTACTGTTTTTATACTCAACTTAATAAGTTTTTATTAACATCCAACATAATACTTGAGTATCTGGTGTAAAGGTCAATAACTTATTAGGCATCTTATAAATTATTCATGACACAAGAAAATATCGTCGTACATAAATAATATTTCTTATCACTTTTGGTTTTCATTTGCTTTTTTCTTCTTTTATTTAAAGCCTTTTCGAAGGTTTGCAAACGAGATTGTTTTTCGTAGCATAAGTTTATTTATATTCCATCTGTACTATGTCGTTGAAATTCGACAAATGTGTTGCTAAGCGAAAACCTCGAGAACGTCTGAATAGATTTCTAACTAAAGTAAACATTTTTGTTGGTAATTAGGAAACTGGCGCTGAGCCGGAAGAGGAGAAGCCAGCCACGTTGTCTGAGTACGCTAAGGAAAGGAAAGCGTATGAATCTCTGTGCCGCGGCGAAGTCGACGTACCCCTAGAGATCTCTAAGAAGTAAGATAATTTTGGCCAATGAATAGACACCATTTATACCGTACTATTCTCTGCTTTCAGATATTGACCACTTTTCACCATTTTCTATAAATATGACCTTTATTCCTTTTGTAATAGAGGACGAAAATTGTAATGCGCGTGATGAAAGAAATTAATGTGGAGAGAGACATAAATTTCTTGCCACCGTTACCAAAGTTGCACCATACTGAGATTTATTCCTGCGAGCATATGCATAATTTAACACACACAAATCCAAATCATATCACACAAAAAACTGTTCTGTGTGAGCACAAACCCGCGACACAGGTAAAAATGTGTTAGGCAAAGTTAAAAAATCTCACTATAGTCAGAATTTTAATTCGATTCCTGATTTGACATGACCTATTGTCATTTTGTGAAATAATGATACCACATATAACAGTGTAGTGATGAACACAAAAATCGATAAACAATCAGTAAATCAGTTTCAGGAAGGCTTTCAAAAAATTACGGCTGCCGAATGATCTAAATGGGTATCCTATGTTGTCAAAGAAGAGGAAAAAATGAGAAAGCTAGATATGTTAATTGACAATAAAAATCACAGACACAATTCATAATAAATGTTACAGAAAGTAAGCGATAGCGATAGCGATGACGGCGACAATTTATAAAATTTCTGTTTTATTTGTCATGTTCCTTCATGATCACATTTTTTATTAATTTCACACACAATTACAAAAAAAAAGTCTCAGATCGTTAATTAATTGTCAAAACTAAATTAACGGTTCAGAAATATTTTATTTCCTAATAAACTTAGTTTACGAGATTCAATTTATAAACGAGAGGAATCGATCCAGAAATATTCGATTTCCACATCGAATAATTTCGCAACGTCACTATTTATTACGTGCCATAACGTTGCAACATTGAAATTGTCAAATCAAATCTGGAATGGAATTAAAATTCCGAGTATAGGTAGTGACATAAAGTTTGCTTAAAAATATTTTTCGAAACTATTATCATACCTAATAACATCCGAAACTGGATGACCAAGTTTTAACATTATGCTAATGAAGTATTTTACTGATTTTTGAAGAAAAAAAAAACAGATTCTACAATATATATATATATATTAGTAGTCGAGTAAAGTTATAAAATTATCATAAAAAGTAATTCAATTTCATATTCATAATGATGTAACTGTTTGTCGGGTTAGTAATCCTTCCCACGCGTACAGTTAGGTACAGGTTGTGTTTTTTATAAATTTCAACTTTATGTTTTTTGTATTAAAGTCGTTAATTCATTGATGGTTTCAGGGATAGCTTGATTTGCTACTTATACATTAAACTATTTACGGCAACGCGACTAGATACGCGTTATTGTGTAGCTGTGATTCAATGCGACTTATTTTGATTTTTATCACAGACAAGATATAGAAAAACAAAAAACAGAAAAATCAAAAAAGTGTGTTGTGAATATTCAGATATTTCAACTTGCAAGAAAGAGAAACAAATACAATAAACTCCCTTGTCCGTAGAAATAAAACGAATGCTGAAAAGTTACTTTTTCTAACGTGTTTTTGGTTATGCGTCTAGGCACTAGTTTGCCGCCTTTTGCAAAGATAAAATACCAGGGCCAACTGCGTTATCATAACATACATTGCCAATGTCCATTTTGGACTTTTGAAATCGTCATCACCAAAGTTATACGTATACATATGTGCTACACAAAAAATACATAATTTTGGAATTCCACAGTTCATTTTATATATATTTTACTTTTCTTAAACAGATTAACTTGCCGTTACCTTACGGAAAACCATCCATTTTTACGTCTGGCGCCCATCAAAATGGAATATATGTACCTGAACCCAGATATTGTGATATTCCATGACGTCATCAGTGATGGAGAGATTGAAATTGTCAAGCGAATGGCTAGGCCTAGGGTACGTACCAAAATAATTATATTTAAATATAAAATGTTATTTTTAATGTTATGTCTTTGTTTTTTAACGGTAAGAAATTATATTATAGGCACCATTCCCTCGTATGTACCCTGGTCATTGATCCCAAACTCCATAGTAATGATTCCTTAATTAAAACAAAACAGTTCTCAATCAAATTCAATGAGCGACAAAGTATACGCGTCGATTTATCTATCGTTATACTGTGTTGCCGATGATATCAAGAATAAGGTTACATTATAGCTACAAGTATCATTCTTTGAATTCTGGGTTGAAACTTGACCTAAAATAACTAATAAAAGTAATACTAGATATAGAATATGCGTTGTATATAAGCACTACAAAGAATACGAATAATAAAAAACATGCTTCACCTAGTTTCACATGTACTTACCATATATTTAAAGGTTTTTTATATTACACAGATTTACATTGTGAATCGGTAAAATGTCATTGCCCCCAAAACTTCCTAACCTTGACATTCATTACGTGCAATAAAATAAAACGCTTGTTTTGTTAATAATGTGTTTTAGTGTAGTTTTTGTTTATATTTATATTAACTTGTAGTGTTTAGGAACCAGGTACTTTAAAATAATGTTCTCCACATTATTTTAAAGTACCCAACAAAAACTACGAAAACGAATATAATATGTAGTTTAGATACGCTTTTTGTAGTACTTTTTTGTTTTTTATTGGTTCCTAAACACTACAAGTTAATATAAATGATCAGACTACGAGTTTCTTCTGAAAATGACCGACTCAAAAACCTTATTAATAGGCACGGAGTAAGAACAAAGAGGAGACGGCCTAAACAACTCGGCCCTGTGACACAAGTCGGCCCTCACGTCATCAAGGTGGGCGTGGCTTACGTCAGTGTAATGTGGTCGTTCGTCCTGTGCACAACTTCGATATAATATTCATTTTACTCGTCACAGAAGAAAACAAAATGAAGTCTTGTGTTTTATCTTGTAAAAAATACTATGATAAACGTTACGGTGCTATGGATGGCATCACTTTTCTTGTATAAGTTATTTTATTCGTCATTTATTAAAATAGTTCTAGCAAAGTCTCTTATTGTCAGCGTTTCCAATTATCAATCTACGTGACACTAGATGTCGACACTTTGTATCATAGAAACAAATTTTTTATAGGTACGCATAGTTAAGTATTAGTATATTTTAATGATCGTTTGTATAGTAATTTGATCGACATGCATTCCTAAAGATCCTTTAATCGCCAAAATATTATTTATGTAACTTTTATATCATTTTATAAACAGACAGCCATCTATTGTCAAGTAGTAAAACATAAATAAAGCCAGGGCAGTAATTAGGAGTCAATTACTTTTTAAGGTTTATATCGTTGATTTATTTAAGTCGCGAATTGAATCACTCAAATTTAGCGCACCTCACCGCACGCTATGAGTGCTAAATCGTAGTGCGTGAGTGTTTGAAACTGAACGACTTTATTTATACTTCTAAAGTTCCTCTTCGGTTTTTATTTCAACCCCAAATTAAGGGCATCAGGACTTGGGTCATACAACTCAGATATGTATCGCCAAAAAACCTATGAAATGCCCACAACACACTCTGTCCTTCGTACATATCTTTCGTTCCATTCTTCGTTTATTTCGAAATATGTCGTCACATTAGGGCAGGTTTTGTCCGTTTTTCATAGTAAATAGTACCTATGACAGTCGTGAAGATAATTAGGATGTGTTATATATGGAGAATCTGGCAGTATTATTAACTTTGGAATAGCATTTAACATACCACTAGTTAATTCGATGTAATGTTCGTTATTGTTCCAAAATATTGTTGAGTTATTGTTTTGTGTTTTTATGTTCCAAAATATTGTTGAGGTAAAACCGGCGAACACGTAATGCAAATCAAGTGGCATTATTAAGACGATTGCTGCTAAATTATTAGAAGGTGGTAGGACCGCACACTCTTCATTAGCATTTCTATTTAATGTGCAGGTGATTTAAAGTGCAACTTGTAATATTTCGAGAAATTCTGCTATGGCATAAGTTTTGCAACTAACGTCAATTATTTTATGGGATGCACTCATACAATGGCGAATAAAAAATGAATAGAAGCATTTAATCGAACCATGCAAAATTTACGCGGTACTCAACAGGTTTTTGGTGGTGCTCTGAAATTGCTGTCAGGGGGCTTTTGTCAAACATTGCCTGTCATTCCTCGATCAACTCCTGCTGATGAAAAACCTGTTTGAAGTCATCAGTTATTTGGAGATATATACGAAAATTGACACTGAACTTTAGTAATAATGTGTATTCAGCTACGTAATGATGCAACTGCCTATGAGTTTTCAAAACAATTATTAGAAACTAGCTTAACGACTTTGTTCGCGTGGAATAGTGACTTCCTGTAGATTTTGGATTTAAAAAGTATCCTATGTCCTTTCTCCAGTTCCAAACTACGTCTGTACCAAATTTCACTCAAATGGGTTCAGTAGTTTAGGCGTGAAGAAAAGACATACAGAGTTACTTTCGCATTTATAACATTCCAAAATATTAATCGACAGTACCGACGGATTGGTCATTTTACCGAATATTTTTTATACAATTGCGCAATCTATAGATGAGTTGATTGAATGTGTTTTTCCGAATATTCTTCAGAATTGCCGGAACGATTAGTTCAGAGAACGCACTATTAGACAATAGCACCGAAGAACATTTATATCAATGCCATTAATTTTCAATAATATATCATTTGACTCATTTGGACTTTTACATAGCAAACGATTTCAAACAATTTTTTGTTTGATTAAATGAACATAATAATATATTTTTGATTATATTTTATTATACACTTAAACGTAGTGAAGCACGTACCGGGCCGCTAGTAGTTATATCGTAGATAGAGGCCTTTTCCCTGCAATACCTATGAAGATTCTCATGAAGTCTTTTATTTCGTCGACGAATCCCTGAATCATATGTTTGAAGATGACACCAGTCTAAACGCATATGCCGTTCCGAGTTACACATTAGTACAGTAATGACATATCTAATAATAACACTCGTCATCACAAAGAACCAGCTATCAGCAGGGCATCAGCCTCTTGGTAGCATAGTAGGTATACGAGTATCTGCTTCAGGCTACGCCCTTAACGGAATAACCCCTAATAAATGAAAAAGATGTTACAATAAAATGGTTTTGATAAATTTAGAATGATCCTCATTCACCAATAATAAATAGTATTACTATTTCGATAAAAAAATATGTATCAAGATGATTCGCAAAGGTATTTAAAAAATAACTCCCCGGTATTCTAAGTACGACCCTGTTGCATTTTGCATTTAGTGACATCTATTGTGAAATAGTTACATAACTACAAAACGAAGTAAATTGAATGAGAAAGTAGTTTTGCTATAGACCGGCAGATGGCAAATAAAAAATGGGCGGAGTCTAATACCCCCCTCACCCCGCAAAATATCACGCGGTGTTTCTTAGGGAAATCTCATTATGACATCTCCTCTTTGTATTTACTCCGTGTTAATAGGATTAAAATCGATAGTATTATTTCAGGATCAGGCTCCTTGCTATCACAACGTATTTCGAAACGCGTTTATGAAGATTTACACTAGCCTTAGCTAAGCAAAGTTTTTCGTCTCCAGTATTTTTAAAGTAACGATAATTTCAATGCCATAAAAATCATTCTACAGTTCAAACGCGCAGTCGTCCACGATCCGAAGACTGGAGAGTTGGTACCAGCTCACTACCGTATAAGTAAGTCGGCGTGGCTGCGAGACGGCGAGGCCGAGACCATCGCTCGAATTTCCCGCAGAGTATCACACATGACCGGCCTAAGTATGGACTCCGCTGAAGAACTGCAAGTCGTTAACTATGGAATTGGAGGCCATTATGAACCGCACTACGATTTTGCTAGGGTATGTTCAATATGTTTTGTGTGTGTTATATAAGTAGCATTTAATAGTTCTATATGTATACTATAGTGTGTATTAGATGTTTGATAAATAAATAGTTATGAAACTACGGTATCGTTGTCATATTGTGAAATAATAAATAGGTAACTAGTGTATAGTGATATGATGTATGTATTATATGCTTTTATTCTTATTATTTCAGAAGCGGGAGAATGCTTTCGCCAAGCAGGGAGGAAACAGGATAGCTACAGTTCTTTTCTATGTTAGTATTCGAATAATAAAAAATCGTGAATATTAAATAGCTTATTTATTTCATTGTCATCATTACATTGTAATTTAATCCTGATTTTTAAATTTGTTACAAAGCAATAGGATTCATATAAAAATCCGTAAAATAGTTTACAGGTTTGAATTTGTTGACCTAATGATTCGAATTGATTTTAAACCTTGTAATAAAATAATATGATTGAAAATTAAACGTAGATGTTGTTCTTATAGATTTATTACATGTACATAAAAATAAATTATTGTTGCAGATGTCAGACGTGGCACAAGGCGGTGCTACTGTGTTCACAGAGCTGGGTCTGAGCGTGTTCCCGGTGAAGCGTGCCGCCGCATTCTGGATGAACCTGCACCCATCTGGCGAAGGAGACTTCGCCACCCGGCACGCTGCCTGTCCCGTACTTCAAGGCTCCAAGTGGGGTAAGTGTTACTGCTGAAAAATCATGTTAAGTAAAAATAAATACAAGTCACATCAATGTAAGTTTTTTGTGTGTTTAGTAGTAGTGTTTTTGTTTTTATAAAAACGTTGCCCCACTTTAGGATTTTCTCCTGTGTTGTGGGTGCGTTTACAAACATACAATGTCACATACACATGCCACCCAGACACAAAACAACAATTTGTGGATCTCACAAAGTGTTGTTCCGTGCGGGAATCGAACCCGCGACACGTTGCACGGCAGCCAGTTGCCCAGCCACCGCACCAACCGTGCAGTCAAAGTTTAGTTTAAACTGTCTATTTTTGCCTCTATAACTCTACGTAACATCTACACAAGTGATGTTTGAATAAAACAAACGTCACTTGTGTTGTGTTTCACCGTGTGATTGACTCGAGGCCTAGTTTTTCCCTCTTACCCCGATCCTAAATCTCCAAATGCCCAAAAGGCCAGTACACAACTTGCCTTTAGTAGACCTTGGCTATTGCGTTGTGGGTTCTATCTTATGAACCATCTGCCTGTTAGCCGCCTATGTTCCATAGAAATAGAAAGATTTATTTAAAAATCTCCTTAAAACTTCTCAGTATGCAACAAATGGCTGCACCAAGGCGGACAGGAGTTGCTGAAGCCTTGCAACTTGGAGTACCAGGAGGAGGGCATCATCCGCCAGATCCCGCGACCAGTACCGAAGTCATTCAGGTAGAATTACCACTCCCTGCTACTAAATAAGCTGTTCAAACAGTACTGATTAGTGCAAATATAGTGATCTGATTATTAAGCAATTTGTGTATTTGATAACTGTTTAGTATGTGTTCCTAGCCAGTGAAAAGTTGTCCTTGAATCACAAAAACGATTCAAAAAAAACATTCGGTACCCGGTTTAATTGGAAATGAAATGGTCAAAGTATGACAGAAGAATAGCAAAATAACAAAAAAAATCCTAGTTTCTATGGTTAGTTGTACGCTGTAGGTTAGTTGTAGGCGCTCCAACAAATCATGTGTATTATTTTATAAGAACACATCCAATTGTATCCAAAAAATAATCATAAAAAAAACTATAGAAAATATTATATTAAGATTATAAAAATAAGAGAAGATTATCTATTTTTTTTTAATGTGCCGTATCCGACTTTATTACTTTTTAGTTATCAAATGTAACACATTGCTTTTTTAGTTAATTGAGTACAACAAGTGGTTAATAATTAAGTATTTAGTGTGTGTAGCAGTGTTGTGTTAAAACATGTTAATTAATCTTGCCTAATGATAGACGTCTCATTACTCAAACACATAGAGGCTTCAGTGTTGCCGTTTTCTGTCAAAGTAAAATGTAATAATTTATTATCTATGTAATTAATCAAATAAGGTAAAATAGTACATTTTAGTATATTTACCTATTTAGTTCAAAGTGTTGTATACAAACAAATTTATATTATGTTTTAATGAATTGGAAATTTTAAATGTAGATATATATTATTATTTTAAGTACATGTTTATAAAATCCAGTCATTTAATTTAGTATTGTAAGTAACTGATGATACAAATTAAGTTCAATCTCATCAAATGCATTTATACAAATTTAATATTTAAAACATATCTAATATAATGACAATATTGCTTTACTTGACAATTAACTAATAATATAGATATTATTAGTTATCTTAATATTAAGTTGACTGTAATTAAGAAAATATGCTTTAAATCAAATTTACGTAAACTGAAATTGTTTTACATTATGTATTTGATTATACAATTTTCAATTTATATGGTTGTGGTTTTATTGAAATTATTTAAATTGTTATTAGAAGTGAAGTACCACGAAAATTATGAAAAATAGTTTTACCCTTAGTACAATTACTGATAGGTGTAATAAAGATAAGTACAGGTGTCAGTCAGTCAACAATTTTCTTTATACATTAATTAAAGTAATTTTTAGACTGATAATAGATTTTAATAAATTAGGAATATGTAAAACCTAATTTTAAATAATAAACCTTAAGCTATGTTATACATATGCTATGTAGCTACCTATTCAATCTCGCAGTGCGGTCCGTCGCCATTAGTCATCTTCAAAAGCCGTTGTGAGGAGAGCAATTTAAGACAACAAAAACGTTACATATAGAATTAGACGTATACTGTACATAACATTGCTGTTGTTTATACATTACCCTAAATCTTCTGGCTTCTGGCTCTTCTGGTATCTGGCTAACTTCTGGAATCTGGGTGGTGGAAGGTCGGGTTATGACGCTCGTTAGAGTATTTCAGAACAAACAAAGTAAGTACATGCATGGTGGACTTTAGCATTGCACACTACTGTGTTTGCTATGAAACACTCTTCTTGTCTTGACAATCTTCGATCTTGGAATGTATGAACAGTTTAGAATCACTGTTTCTCAAAGAGTACAAGCGGAAATAAAGAAAACAAAATACACTAGTAAAATATGTAGAATCTTCAAAATATACTATAACTATGTAGGTAATTTCAATTTGTATGGATTGTTTGTAGTTAAGCCACATTAAGCGATATGCGACATTTTACAACAAGCTTTTTTTGTAAAAAAATCTGAAGACTCAATATTCTATTTTATTATACAAATATATTTCATAATTCGTTTGTCTATGTTGAAACTATTAAATAGAATTGTCTTTTAAAAACAAAGATAGTTATGCCTCAAGAGGGTTTGAGACATGTTTTCTGATATTGATCCCTCACGTCTATCAAGTAATCAATAAATAAGTTTTGCCATTGCATTGGAATGCATTATATTATAGAAAGTGTTGGGAATATTTTTGGCAAATATCTTAAAATATTTCAAAGAGCATCATAGCTTAACCAATTTATTTTGAACTGTTTTCATGGTAGATGACTATCAAGTGTAAGTTCAGAATATTTTTCGTATCATTGGTAAATTAGGCACATTTATTTTGTGCTGAAAAAATATTAAATTAGTTTAAGAAATAGTTTACTATAATTACAAAAAAACAGGACAACACAGCAAACTTTTGTCCCGTAGTTCCTATTACCTGAATGCTGTTGTTATCTAAGGAAAATTAACGGGCCTAAGATGAACCCTTGCGAAACACCGCATCTGATTTATTTGGCGTTCACTAGTTTAGTTCCCGTCCTAACTTCATAATATCGGGTTTCCAATAAATAACAAATGAAATATTAAAATGAGTCTCCAGTCATTGCAATTGATTTCAACTTAAAAAGAGTAGACTGCGAGTGACGGTGTCGAAAGCTTTTTTAAAATCGATAAATACACCTAAACCTTTGTTTTTATATGTTAATTTTTTTTTTAGTAATTAGGTTGATTATTGCTGTGAATGTATTGCTTTGATTAATTTGTTTAAATTCGTTTGGTTTAAATCTTAAATATCGTAGATAATATTATGTCAATGCTACGGTAACGTAGAGGATACTCATAGTCCAATAGTGGACTATCACGGATGTTGATAACGATCATGAATGCTGTTGTCAAACATAATTGCTGTAAAATATAACCCGCTTACTCCATATATCCAAAAATTGGTACATAACTATCTATGATATAAGACCATTTTAATTATGATACTTAAATAACAATTAAAGCAATCAAATACCTAAATAGAGGATTTGTAATTACCTTCCAAATTGCGCTTTGTTGAACCTACTCTTGATTCCTACATACGTCACATAAGTTCCAGTCTGCCCCGACTTAACCTTCGGCGTTAGATTTCATTGTCACTGCATAATGGCTCTTTGTTTTAAGGTCAATAGTATAGTGATTGGAAAATGGGTTCTCATGTTGCTTCTGCGGATTCCACATTCACGGAAACATTAATGCTTCCTTTCCTGAGCTTCCAATGCATTGTAATTGATTGTAGGTATGTACGAGTATGTAGGCATTGTTCATTAATGTTCTTCATTGAGTTGGTCTTTATGGTTTGCAATTATTTCCTGAAATACAACAAAATTTATGAATGAAAAAGTTATAGCGAAATCGAATACACCGAAGGGTATGTGGTTGTCTTCAAGCCCCTAGTGAATTAAAGAGTTGAATAAGTTGCTTATGGGTGAGCCCGCTCCATCCTAGGTCGCATCATCGCTTACCTGGCTAGATATCGAGTATAGCGACCAAACCACAGCCCATTACTAATAAACAAAAAATATTTAGGATTCCTTTTAATCTCAGCTTTGAAAAATAAATCCATTTATTTAATTTTTCTGCAAATGCCTAAACATATAATGCCTATACAATAATTATTTTTTAAGGATTAAAATGTATGGTGTAGTGTAATGGCAATTGATAGCTTGAGTCTCTACGCAAACATTCATATGATGTTAGGTATGTGACTCCCTTCACTTTCTATAAAAACAACAAGTGTCAAAAGAGTTACATGACTACTCATATACGACACAGAAACATCCACCGTGGTAAATAATCATAAATAGTATTTACCGATGTCACTAAGAATATAACTACATAATAGCACCATAACACATGTTATAATGATTCGAATAAGATTAATCATAGATCCGTCCTGACATTCAGATGAGACCAACTTCTACTCCTCCTGGACTTCGCTTGGTTATTTCCTATCTAAACAAAAACTCACACATTAGTGCTAAGATGCTATCAAACCACAAATAGCTTTGTATGTATCTTAATCAAAAAATTTTTAAACTTTTGCAGTGCTAAATTGAATTGACTATGAAACCCCAATTTGTTCTGGATCAAACTAAGGAACATATCTGACTAGACTATAGATAAGGAATATCGAACAGCTGACTCTTAATATCTGTTTCAAGTTTGGTCGTCACTTTAGCTAACCTCGGATAGACGAGAGATTATGCCAAACCCTGTTCCTATAATGACCAAACTATAACTATAAATCGAATCCAAATAGATAATCATAACTATGGGAACTTACCTGTAAAAACACCAAAATGCTATACCAATTTACCAATTATTTGTCAGTTAAATTGACTCTTCTATTTCCCAACTTTTGTAATAGAGGTGATCCACTTTCTTTAATTTTACGTTAAGCTTAAAACATCGTTAATTAGAATTGCGTATTAGGGCATTGCGACTTAAGTCACAAATAATACATAGATATATGGAAAACACCTAAACCACATAAATATCACTCACCCTCACCGAAGTCTATACTTTGATTTCATAGTAATCCTTCTTCACTAGTTAGCAAAAGCTAATTAAAAACTTCAGTAATAATTCTTGAAGAAAATTTTAAGCAATTTTATTGGTCGAACTGATAAATTAGTATGAGGATACTTGACACTACACTTTCGAATCAGACAAGTGCTGGCAACAAACTGATGGCTAGTGGAGTCGGTCGTCGATGGCTAACGATGAAACCGGAGCCGTGGACTGTAAACATCCAGTGACTGGAATCCTCACAGGCTGTCGACGCGCCGCGCCGCTGACGCTCACGCGCAAACCTCCATAACATTACTGATATGACACATTAAGATAACTGCCTGACCACCGGGAAGAACAATCTGCACTCGATAGGCTCATGACCTCTAAATTAGTATTGCTCCACATATCTAATTGTCACTTTTTATTGTTGTTGTCACCTTAACAACAACTAGGCTTAGGCTATTATGGCTGAAGTGTCATCTTTTCAATTATGTACTAAGAATAATAAAACTAACCATAATTGGCTCAAACACATCTTTTGAGGGTTAAGAAAAACTAATGCGAATTTGCCTACAGTACTACCTCTGCACTGAGTAATTTTAAAGGTTTGTGAGAGAAGATTCTCGTGTACAAACAGCTTTTTTGCCAAGGTAAGGAAAACAGACAACATTTTATGCAATCCTGAAATCACTGACCTTTCGCAATTAAGTGTAAAACCTAAGGTCTGAAATTACATTGTTTATTCTTCTGGTTAATTTGGTCCATTCATGTTTCCTAGACAGACTTACATATTTTTTTTTACACTCATCTCAAAAGTAACAATAGAATTTCGGCTCCAGTTGACAAATGCATTTTTAACCTAAGCAAAATACAGATTTCCCATACGACCGTATAGACGTGTTTTTATTTTGGATGCGAGTACCTTCATTGTTGATGAACCGATTTTGATCAGTTCTTAGACCTGATGAGATAATAGGGATATCGTGAGGAACTTTCGGAATTTGTAGAGGCAACAAATTTTCGTTTAGTGGATAAGTTTTTTGAAGCACTAGGTTCAATTTATGTAGGTCTGGAATTGAGCTAATTATGTAGACAGTCGAAGGAACCGCGGGAGAATTTAAAGCAATAACTCATATGTCTTCAATTATTTGTATTGATTACCATTTAACATTAAACTAGAGTGTGATTGTCATTTGGGGTCAAAAATCTGTGCAATAGTTAAGAGGGATCTTAACGAGTAACATTTGATTCGAGTAACTTTGAGTCTGAGCTTGCTTGTGGATTTATGAGAACTTTACACCTAGATGAGGTTTTTTTTTGAGGAGGGAAAATAATCAAATGATTTATCTCACCTTGGTTAAGGTAAGAGGGACTGTCAGACCCTTAGGTACTGACTAAAAAACCCCTCGTCTCTTCTCCTACAATGAGTCTAGGCCGCGGTTATTATTGCGCCACAGATGGGGTGTAGGTAATTGTCATTAGGAGTCTAATGATGAAGCAGTACGATCTTTTCAACGGGTAACAGCATTATATGCATGGATTTGGATTCATTGGCTATAATATGAAAAGATTAATTTATTTAAGACGTGTGAACTTGAACGTGAGCTCCGACTTCCAATTAATCCGAGGTAAGGGTGTTTTTTCATCTTAGTGAATAGGTAGGTAACTGTAGGTACCTACTTAATAAATTGTACAATCTAAATCTTCTTCTTGAATTAGGTATTCGAAACATGAAACAAAAACGCTAAAATCTGTCATATAGTTTATTATTATACGAAGCATATCTACTTACATAGGGGCAGGAATCTGAAAGCTACTTTGTTTCATACTAACTATGTAGTGATTTAACAGAAAAATAGGCAGGAAAAAATATTAGGAATCATAGTATTGTAACCACTTTATTAAGATTCTTACTTTTGCACCAAAATCCCTATTGTCTGTCGTGAGGTAACTAGAGGTGTTCGATTTCGTTAAAATGTATTTAAAGGAATTAAAGACAGTATTGCTCGTGCAACTGGCGATATGCGTTAGTGTTATATTTAAAAAACAAAGTAAAATCTTCAACAAGTAGCCGCGTCGCGTTTTGCGTAATGCTGCGCATGAATATGAGCCCTTCACATGGCTTGAAAATAGTCGAGATATGAAACAGTAAAACATAATAATCACTATCACTACATAGTATAAAACAAAGGCGCTTTCTCTGATTCTATATCCCTATGTCTCCAGAATCTTATAAAGTCCACAACGGATTTTGATGCGTTTTTTTTTAAAGATAGAGTAATTGAAGAGGTATATTTATAAGTATGTATAATAACATCCATTAAATATTGGAGAAACTTAGTATCAGCATTGGATTGCACCCGTGCGAAGCTGGGTCGGGTCGCTGATGATTAATAAATGTGATCGTAACGACAGAATGATTTAATAATCCAGTCCAGTAGTGACGTTCCCTTATAACGCTTTGATTAAGAACTTTATTATGTAGTTGATGTTCATATTATAAGTTGTGTCACTATAGTTCATATGGGGCTTCTATTAGGTAAATAAATAAAGTTCTTAATATTTTAGTCATGAAGCAGTATGTGGAACAAGGTTTTATTTTAAATAACATTGCCCTGAATTGAAAATTCTTACAGTAGAATTAGAAAAAATTCTATTGTAGGATTTTTTCGACTGAATTGCGGCCAATCGCGGGTGCGGTGCTAATCATACAAATTCACATACACAAACCACACAGACCCGAAACAACAATTTTTGGATCACACAAAGTGTTGTCCGTGCGGGAAGCGAACCCGCCCCACGTTGTATAGCAGCCAGTTGCCCAGCCACTACGTCGACCGTGCAGTCTGTTGTCTTTTTTCTTTTTTACTAATTTGTTAATTGAGAATATTTATTAGTTATTCGAACAGCGAAGCTGAAAATGGTATGAACTTCAATGTGTTCACAATTTTCAAAGGATATGTATATTTATTGTTTTTTTTTTGATTGTATATGTCAGCAACGAGCATACGGATCGCCTTGTGGTGGTACCCGACGCCGCCAATGGAGTTTACATTGGCGGCGTCGGGTACCACCCTTGCGATTGCCATACCCCTAAGAATTAGAAGTGCGTTCTCGGCCTTTTGTGGGCTGTCAGGGATTTGATTATTGCTAGATGTTTTGAGTAAAAGGGGAAGGATTGGGCCTCCTGTAACTGGCTGTAACCTCACTAATCTTATGTAATCAAATGATATACGATAAATGACAAAATGTCAGTCTTATAATGAGCTCTGTACAGGTCAGACGTGCGCCTTACATAGTTAAAAAAATAAGAAAATAACTTTAAATACTAACTACTTTAGAAAATGCGAGTTCCATAGGTGCTTACCTAATATTTAGACATATCTCTCTATTATCCTCAATACAAAATTGTATAGAAAACATCATCGGAAGCATGTAATGAAATACCAGTACGCTACCATACAAGACTTGATTCAATAATTTACTTACATAGCATGTTCGGATGGAGCTATTTAATGACTGTATTATTGAGCAAATTAGGTTCATACCTACGCATCTTTTATGAAGCTTTAAATGTTTTATTAAAGGAGCTAAGAGCCTCTCAGTTTATTAATACCTACTTTGAACCCTCAAGGGTGGATGTTAAATGACGCAAGTAACAAATGTTAGCGATTAAAATTAACCCTGTGGCATTTAAAGTATTGTTAGGTTATAAGAAGGATTGTTGATTCAACCATGCACCGCTGGGGTCTACCCACGACTTCGTCCTATTTTACTACTAGCTATTTTATTAAAGGCGTTATTAAACTCTTAGATGAAAATATAAATGAGTGGCGACTTGCATTGGCGTCGAAATCGTAGCAACGTAATGTAAATAAGATGATGAACCATCTACGTAAGTATGTGGGTAGGCACGCGCTTCGAATGTTTTGCAACACAACAATCCTCGGAATCATTAAACAGGATGGGGCCTTACGTGAAAACTTGTTGTTTCTTTTTCACATGTGTGTGTATATGTCACGCGACCTGTTTACATAATATTTTCCCTGAAAAATGCATGTTGACTCTGTAGTTGCGAGGAACCGATTCGACATACACCTTTGTGTTATTTTTCAGAAGCTTCAATACTTATGGGTAAGATTGCAAGTCGTATCTAACTTGGAGATACCTGCTGAACGTGGTATGTATGCCATATATTATTTATATAAGTATATAAATCTCTTGGTAGATATTAGTATTTATATAGTAATGCCGTTGTCGTTGCTCGTTTGGGTCGTACAAAATGTTTTAACTGTTTTTTTTTGTGTTTTGATTATTACTGGTAAATGCCTGCGATCTCTGTTATATAACATTTGACAAATGATAATATGCTGTACGCATACACATAATTGGTAATAGATTAGTGCCTAAACCTATAGGTTTATGAAGGTTCTTGAAAATTAAATGTGTTAGCGAAATATGCCAGAATGTTATCATTCGATATTATATTTCCTTCTAAGCTTAGCTTCATCAGACAGGCTTAACGTCTGTCTAAATATTTAATTAAAATTATTAATTTTTTGACAGACCTCTATAACTCGATCCGAACACCAAGATCCAAACTGCGTCGAATGCTCTTAAGCAAGCGTAAAGCAGAAGAAGGAAACGGGGTGGTTTTTAGTCAGTAAGAATCTGACACTTCCTCTCGCCCCACTCATTGAAAGATTATGCCTCCCCAAAGCGAAGCTGGTAAAGTTGATTGAAATATCAGAAGTGAGAAAATCATCGAATTCGGAAGTTTGGAAATAGTTTGGTTTTTCAAGACTGCAAATCTTTACACAACGGGACTTACCAAATAGAAAGGTGAGTGAGTTCTACTGTCTCATTTACTAAACTTACCTTGTTTACCTTTTTGGAAAAAGGTTAGGCAGTGCGGTATTCTTAGCACAGATCTTAAAAACTCTTCCCTGTAGCCCTGTAGCTATGAGGAGCACTCCTTCTCTTATAGTCTTTTTGCTTAGCCCTTTTTATGGTTATAGGTCGGCAAACGAGCAGACGGATTACCTGGTGGTATGCAATGAGCGCCGCCCATGGACACCCGCAACATCAAAGGTGTAATAAGTGCGTTGCCGGCCTGTTAGGGTTAAAGGTTTTGAATATTTAAGAATTGGGAAGGGATGGGGGATGGGTAGGGATTAGTGCATCGGTAGCCTCACACGTACGGCGAAACACAGCGCTGTGGTTGTTTCATGGTTTTTTGTGAGGCCGTGGTATTACTCCGGTCGAGCCGACCCGTTCGTGCCGAAGCTTGGCTCTCCCACACTTACCTTAAGATGCAGTGCCTTTAATCGCACATCCCTAGGAATTTTACGTCTCTTTTTAAGTTCTAAACTTACCTGCCTATCTTGTTCAAACATTAGTTTGGGATTTGGGATTAGAAAGGTATACCTAGCACTAAAAAGGCACTTGAGAGACGTTTTTCTGATTCAGCACCGCTACTTATGAGGTCTACAACTGCTGCACATAGGTCTCCCCAATTGCACGCTACTGAGCTCGATATTCAGCTCTTCTCATCCAACTACTGCCATCCAGCCTGCAGATATCATCAGTTCAAAAATAGCAGTGGGCCTAAAACGTTGCCTTGTGGCACGCCATTAGTGATTTTACGTTTGTTTTTTTTAAGTCAATTTTTATCCTTGTCGAAATTCTCTTTATTTACGCACATTGTATTTTACTGTCAAGGTATGATGGTATAACTAAAAATGCTTTGCTTTGAAAATATAGAAAACAGTTTTTCTTTCTTTCCTATCTTTTTTCTTTCAGACGCCAGATAAGGTTTCTTTTATTATCTACATTCTTTAGAAAAAACATTAATTTTGCTTTCATCTAGCTAGAGCTAGATATATTTCCATACTGAATACAGGTAGTTACTTAATGCTTATCTAAATCATTATAATGATTTACTCCATTACCTTTACAATTAATACAATAGAATCAAAGTAACAATTAGATACGATATCGTGATTACAATCTAATCCTCTATTGTTCCTTGTATTTTTATAAATATCAATAGTAATATGGAAATAGATATTTATAAAACGAAGTTACTAACGATGAATCAATCTATCAACCTTACAAAAATAAATTATAATAAGGTAATTTAAGTCCTAGAATTGAGACGCCATTGTGTTCAGCAGACCTTTATTGTTTTCCAAAGATGTATTACATCAAAAATAAAAACATCTTATACATTTTGGCTTTAGCTTTTAAAATACTTATCGAGACAAAACATTTAAATTTTAAAATTCCACTACCCATTTATAACATTTAATTATATTTTTAAAATACATAAATTAAATACTGATCAAACATTTAACACATAACATTTATTTCTACGTAACTATCAGGTAACACAACATTTATGTTGGAACAAATACGATTAACGATTACATACGTCATTAGACCATAATTATTAGAAAGTAGAATGACAAGGTTGCAGAAGGTAAAACAAATAAACAGTCCTGTCTCGCAACTTTACCCTGTATATATCTCACAACGACACCCGCTATATACCCACTCTCTTCTTTTAAAATAATATCATACTTATAGTAAGATAAAGAGGATCAAAAATATAAATCTTCAAAATATCGAGATTCTTCAAGTAGATAATATTGATATAGCAGAAATGTAATAAATCAGACTCATAAGTTATCAGGAATGTGCACAGCTTACGGCTAAGGGATAACAGCTAAGAGTGTTAAACACTAATACACCATTCTAGGGGTCGGGGCACCTACGTCAAATTCTGACTCTACGTACAACAGAAATACATTTAGCACATCAAACACTCAAAAACAGTAATTATTACTTAACGTAGAATATCGAGCCACATTCGAGAAACGTACCGCGAGCTGACTTGATGAATATTGTGCCGTTACTTTATAACATATATATATAGATATTTAACTTATTTATAATAATTATCTCTAATTTTAAATATACTCAATAATTGTCAAATACAACATGACTAAAATTGTAAACTTTTAATGGCAAGTAATTAATTTAACAGCCTGGTTGCAATAATATCACGAATAATGTGACTTGGGTCAATTTTTTAAATTAAGTACATAAAAAAATGCTACGAAAATAAAGAGATTAGGGCACAAGTAACCTCTTTTTGTAAAAAAATAAATAAGAAATAGTCCCGGGATTTGGTCTAGTAAAGTCGGTTAAGACATGACTAGCCGATAGACGGGGACTACTGGGGTTTAGATTTCATAGTTGCGGAACTTGGAGATGACCTCAGAGGGAGGTTCCTGGTTGCCAGTTCCCCAGCGGCCCCAGAGAGCGGCGCCGCCTTCGGAGGCCCTGCGAGCTGCCGGGTTGCTGGGCCCCAGGCTGGAGGGGCCCGAAGCACGGCCACACTCCCCCTCAAGCATGCGATCCTTAGTGTTAGGCTTGCTCCAGTGCATGGACTGCTGCACGTGATCCTTCATGCCAAGCCATTGCTTGTAGCCCATGGCGATGCCGCTGTGGCGCCACTTGTCGTACAGAGCGCGCTTAGACGGATCACACAGCGTCTCCTTCGCCTCCTAATAAAAAAAAGTAATAATATATAAATTAAAACTATCATAACATTATTATTAATTCGGATTGATAAGTCAGTCAGTTGGGTTAGTGAATGAAGTATACATTAATTGAAATCAATGTTGCGTCAGTATGATAAACTATTTTTTATTCCATGTAACAATTTCTCGATCTCTGACAATGTTATTTTACGTAGCAGATATTGTATTCCTATTGCGGTTACAAACCACACAAGGTAAACCGTATCAATGTCGGCCCGTTAATATCTCATACAAAGAATCAATCTATGCGGTATCTTAAAAATAGTCATTCACAATGAAATATGTATATTTAGTTCATCATAGACATCATCATTTATTGTCAGATATTTTTTTTTTTGTGAGGGGAAAATCATCAAATGACTTCTCCCGCCCAGGGCCGGGCAGGAGGGAGTGTCAGACTCTTACTGACTAAAAACCCCCCTGTTCCTTCTCCTGCTCTGTGCCGAGGTCGCGGTACCTCATTGCGCTTACCCCGCAACCCCGGCTGAACATCAGCCCTTTAGGGCCCCGTCTGTGGTGGTCTATTGGCTCTTTGAGGCGCGCGCGGAACGCTACGCGCCGTACGCTCGGGCCTGGTTCTGGTCGGGCGGCGAGCTGCCCTTACTCGCCGACCGCAGGCCCGTACTTACGGTGGCCGGAGATCGTCCCTCGATCCCCGACGCCCGTAGTGTCGCCAGTTGCGGCTGCTGGGGCGTGAGGAGGAGGATTGCTCCCTCACGCGGGCCGCCTCTCTCTTTGCGAGCATGACTGCTTCACAAAAGGAGGAGACGGCGTCCCAGTTCCTCTCACTCCGCACCATGTCCTCGACTAAGGCCGGGCGCGAGAGGTCGCCGCCGCCGATCACTTCCCTGAGGATACGGCGGTGCTCAGCCCAGGCAGGGCATACCGCTACCGTATGCTCCACCGTATCCTCTAGGTGGTCCTCACAATGACGACACTCGGGCGTTTCCTCCCGCTGAATCCGAAACAGGAACCTACCGAAGCTGCCGTGCCCGGTAAGCACCTGCGTCAGACGGAAGGTGAGGACGCCGTGGCGTCTCTCAAGCCACTCCTCAAAGAGGGGTCTTACCGCTGCTATGGTAGCGTGCCCGGCCCTCGGTTGCGACAGTCGTTGTCTCCACTCTGCCGTGAGATCTCGCCGGAGCTCATTCCGCCACGCACTTATTTGGCGCGGCAGAGGATCTTCGCCCCGGCGACGCGCGTCTGCGCGCAAACTGTAGACGCGCGCGAGCGCCTTCGCTTCTAGATCCCACGGCGGTGATCCGGCAAGGAGGTTCGCCGCCTCCCCGGAGATCGTGCGATACCCGCGGATTACTCGTATAGCCATGACCCTCTGGGACGCGACCAGCGTACGAGCCGGCCGCCGCTTCAAGTCCGGCGCTCACACAGGGGCACCGTAGAGGGCCATGGATCGCACAATCCCCATATACAACCTCCGGCAGGAGGCGTTTGGCCCCCCGAGGTTGGGAAGGAGCCGCTTGAGCGCGGCCCCAGACCGTTCCGAAAATGCTCCGTGAAGTTCCATCGGCTGTCGAGGACGAGACCCAGGTACTTCATCGCCGACTCGACGCCGATGGTAACTCCTCCTGCCGTTACTTGGGACCCACCTGGAGGTGGCGCGCTCCGACGGCCATAGAAGCACATGGCCTCGGACTTGTGGAGCGCCACCTCGAGTCCCAACTGCCGGATCCTTGCAACGACTGTCGCAACCGCTTGTGACATCAGGTCGGCCGCCGCCTGATGCGACCTCCCGTTCGCCAGCACCAGCGTGTCGTCAGCATAGCAGACAATGCTGACGCCGCTCGGGAGGTCGGTGCGTAGCACCCAATCGTACCCGATGTTCCACAGGAGAGGTCCCAGGACCGATCCCTGTGGGACACCGCGCGACACCTCTCGCCGATTCCACACGCCCCGGTGACCGGGGTAGATGACGCATCTGTCCGTCAAGTAAGCCTCGACTACACGACGGAGATAGGCAGGCACCCGGTGATACCGGAGTGCCTCCAAAATGCAGCTCCAGGGGAGCGAGTTAAAGGCGTTGGCGATGTCCAGAGACACCGCCACGACGACTCGCCTCCCGGCCAACGCTGTCCCCGTCGTGAGGTCCCTCACGCGCATGATTTATTGTCAGATATACGATCTCATATTGTTCCATGTTCTACCTAATACTTACATGCCATGTGAAAACTAAACGACAAAGCAAGATAAATAACTAAATTTATGAATTCTTAGGATTGTACCGTAAATGCTTGTAGTTGTATAAATGCGCATTAGTTTTTGCAAATAATGCTGATTAATGTATCCCAAACCTACACTTTTAAGACTCCAGTGTCATAGCATGAAGGAAAACATCACGACGCAACTTAAACTTATAATTTCTATATGTTTGAATTCGGCAATCTGCCTTGAGCAAGCGTGAACTGCTCAAACTTTTTCCGAATGAGAAGTGGCCTTTGCTTATTGGGCTACTTTTAGGCTGATGAAGTGATGCTTTGTAACTGTCTCAGTGATTAGACATAAGTAGCAATTACGCGAGACCATTATCACAATTACTACAATAAACTATGGACACACCCCGGTCAGTCCACTTTAGTACCACGCCTTGATCCAACCCTATCTGTAAAGTACGGAACGGCATGCGCTACAATTCCCATTTCAGAATTAGGTCATGACATATGCGTGTGCAGAATATCGAACTGTGAATATTATGCACAACTCTTGTTGACTTGAAAAACCCTTTTGCTTTTAGGAAACTATTTTAATGGGGAAATATTAAGGATTGAGACTGCCTTCGCCAGTGACCCACTAACATTACCACCCCGTTCTAACTCCTCCGTCATTGCACTCAATCGGCCCCCGGCCACGTCAGGTAAGCCGTTTTTTTTAGGGACAAAAATTATCCAATGTGGTCACCCGACCTGGTTGAGGCGAGAGGGTTTGTCAGACTCTGATTGAACTGATTAAAAGCCACCCCGTTCCTACTCCTGCTCTAAGCCAGGCCGTGATAATACATTACTGTGCTTACACCCGCAGCTTCGCGTACGTATCTTCCCAACGTCCCATGAAATAAGGGACGAGTCCATTGTGATTTACCATACAATGGAGATACATTTCAAACTATGTATTATTCTTAATTCTTAATTTAGTAGATACCCTGCCGGGGTTGCGGGGCAAGCGCAATGAGGCACCTCGTCCTCGGCCTCGAGCAGGAAAAGGAATAGGGGGTTTTTTGTTAGTATGTGTCTGACACTGCCTTCGCCTTACCCTGGCCGGGAGAAGTCATTTGCTAAGCCTACTACTAAATTTAGAAACAAACTTTGCTCATCCCTGAAATTCAACCCGTCCAGCCTTTTGTGACACACACAATTACAGGCAGTTTGTAAATAACTGAGATAAAAGAGAAACAATATAAAATATACAAAGCCCTATTGTGCTTCGGGCTCTCTCTGAGTCGTAAGTAAATACGGGTTCACAGAACAATATAGATCCTTGAAAAATTATAACTGGTTCATGTACTTAAATGAAAATCTCAAAGTACTTTAGAATACATGATAAACAAATTAAAGTCTTAACTAACTTAAACATTAAACTTTGGTTACTTAAACTTCCCGTTTCTTGTAGCCCTATTAATTCTCCACGTAAAACTTCGCCTTAGGGAAATATAAACAGTTTAAATACTGAATTAACAATTTCCATTTAGAAAACTTTGACGATCGTATCTTCTTTCATGTTACTTGCTTTATTAATTTGAAACAAGTTATTGAAGATTTGTTATTTTAATTATACTTATTAGGATTTCTAAGTAATATCAGCTTAGCGTCTCGCTATTTGTTATAATGTACCCGTATATTTAGTTTGTTAGTTACTGATGAAGATTTTGTTAATACTCTTACCGACCCTAATTCTATATAATCTGTCATTATAAAATTTCATAGATGTTAGTATTACTTAAACTAGCCCACGAACTTTTGGTCCCGCAGCCGTAATTTTAATTACTGGTCGAGTAATTCCACATCGAGGTACGTAATCATAAATACCCACCTCTAACAGGAAATAAGTAATTAATAGTCTCCAAGGAAATAAGCAATTAACTTGATGCATAGGTACCTGTGATACACCCAGTTACATAGACAATCTCCATAAATGGTTTAATTAAAAAAATAGTAGTTAATAATTCATTGTCACCTTGATAAGTGAAATATCGTTCAAGGTAATCTCAACATTAAAAATAAAAAACAAGTTGAAAGTTTATATTAGTATGTAGGTAGTAAGAAATTATTAAATAAGAAAGGAGTCTTAACTCGTACAAATTATCTATGAACTTTTATTCGAATCGCGTAGCGTGAAGCTTACCTAACAAACCATACATTATTTTAGAATATAAAAAAAATTAAAGGAATTTGATCAAACACGATCTATTACTTCGCGAGTTTCGCGCGCCCAAACATATTGACAACAAACTAACTTGAACCTTATAACGTTAGCAGAGAAGATTCTTTATTTCTTACCTTTAGTTGCTGGAACTTGGCTTCAGCTTCTTTGTCCCCATCGTTCTTGTCAGGGTGGTACTGCAAAGCCAGCACCTTGTACTCAGCAATGATCTGCTCCGCCTGTAATCAATGCACATTTTACAAATAATTGCAAAAAATCACGAGTTGAATCATATTTTATTTCATAAAACTCAGCTACGCTCGTCATTGACGAAGAAACCCAACATAACGGGGAACTGGAAAACCCAAACACAAGTCATTGACTCAACAAAAGTTTACTTAAGTTTCCTATATCGCGAAAAAATACCTTCGTTAGCGATAAAAATTAATATGAATTCAACATTCGTACATGCAGTTGTAATTTTTTTTATCAGATGTAGGTCAACTCTCGGGGCCCTCAACAAAATAAGGTCATCGGGCAGTACAGAACAATCAATAAACTAAACACTAGGACTTCAAAATAAATCGCACTACGTTACGTTAACGTAATAAACAAATTAAAAAAGTAGGTTTATAAAAAAATGTACTCACGCTGGAGTTTTCGTCACAGCCCAGCAAGCCGTAGAAATCGTCGTCAGGGTTCCTTTGATAATTTAGTATTTCATCAACGCCAGTCATTTTCACGCGTCCCTCCCTCACGAGACCCAAGCAGATACTGAATCGGAGCTAGCGATGTGGTGCCACGCTTACTAAGTGCTGTCGAGTTTGGAATAGTCGATTCTTAAATCTATTCGAATAGTATCGACTTGTAAATAGTAATGCGATTCAAATCATGTTACAGATATATATGTATGATATATATTTGAATATAATAACGTAGATAGAATAAGATAGGATATATTTACTTTGCGAAATATATTATAGTACTATTACAAAAAAGTGTTTTTTTTTCACTAAGTGCTAATGTGTGAAAATATTCTTTAAAACAATCCCCAAAGCATCTATCTTGTTGAGATTAGGTGTTAAATAGTTAGTTTAGGTAAAAAACAACCTCAGCAACTGAGATCAAATTCATTAACTTCCCATGTCAAGGTCTATGAACTCGAAATGACTTTCACTGAGTCCAAAACTCTGCGTCTCTGATCTCATAATATTAACATTTAAGAAAACAGTTTGTTTATGAATAGTGAAAAATCTATCTAAATCTTAATAGAAGGCTTGAATTAAATAGTGTTAACTACTACTTTTACTAACTACTGTACTAACGCTTATAACCTCTCCTCTTGATATCCATTCAAGCTAAATCTAATTTACATATCACTATAAGTTAGTCACTGTGACTACATCATCGCAAATAAATCGACTATAAGAATATTTAGTTTATTTTCAACCCACTTATCACCTACACACATAAATGAAACACGAACGGCGCGTTTATTAACAGCTAAGTAGATGTACACAAAAACAAATCTGATTGTGTTTGTGTGAGCTGTTTTCTTAATAACTAGGTAGTTACCTACTGTTGCCATAATGGACGGGGTAATCCGTGATGATTATTTTGTATTGATTTGTTTAACTATTGCTCTAAGCGGGAATAGTAACTCTATTCCCGTCTTGTCAATTTCCGTCCCCGGGCAAATCTACTACGATCTTCATATTGGATTTTGCTATGTAGATATTGGTTGTTAACATCGTTATTGTATAGAACCCCGCTCTGCGCGTCTAGGGTTTCGGATCGATGCATACAGGTGGATAAACTGCGCGGACATAAAATCACTACATTGCACTAGCACGTTAGAACAGCTTGCATAGAAAGAGAGAGTACAACTTATGATAACTACGTAAACCTAGATACTATCAATCGAACTGCGTCATATCAAAGCGCAAAATGTATTAATACATTTGTCTCTTACTCGTAAATTACCCCACTTTTATATTCGTCATAAATATTTCGGGATTAAATGGAGTTTATTTCATTTTAAAATAAATCGTCTGTTTAGACTTTAACGATGGGACTTAAAAATTCTGGACATGACATCCACATTTATTAATATAATTGGATAATTAGTTAGTATTACAATATTTATACGAATTTGGCGTTGGTACCCAAAATGAAGGCGTTGACCGCACACGTTTACAAAAAAAATAAGTTTTCCGAGGCTTACCCAGAACAAAGAATAATTTAATAGATACTCTAAAAATAAACTTCACTGTAGACAATAGGCAATTAGAAAACCATGATGTGGGACTTGAATTAAACATTTTTAAGCCTCCCAAACACATTCAAAAATCACAGACGTCTACAATTGTATATTTTTTATATGATAAGTTGGCAAATGAGCATACAGACACCCTGATGATAAGCAACCATAGCCGCCCATGGACGCCCACAACAACAGAGGCGTTACGACTTTACGAGTGCTTTGTCGACCTTTTGGGGATTAGGGATTGGGTTAGTCGAAGGATTGGGCCTCCGGTAACCTCACTCAAACGGTGAAATATGACGCTGTGGTTGTTTCACGCCATCTTTCTGTGAGGCCGTTGTATAACTCCGGCCGAGCCTACTCATTCGTGCCGAAACATGGCTCTCCCACACTTAATAGTAATTAATTAATAATGATACAATTAATAAAATAATTGTGTTTGACATAAAAAATAATGTAGGGTTCCTAAGGGATCTATCTTAGGACCAATCAGTATTATTCACTATCTATTCTCTCGTTCTAAATGTAATAGTACCTTAGTAGGCTTTTTATGCAATACACATGTTTAAAGGACAGCTAACAAATAGCTACTAACAATCTGAAAATACAAAATAATAATGATTAATACAGTAACACATTTCATTCGAGTAATTAAGAAAATGAGCGTATTTATGAAAATCTTTATGTAAAACAGATCTTCTACTAAATATTGAACAAACTTTCTTGTATTCAGGTCAAAATATGATCTCAGAATTGGACCGCTTGTGCCCTTAGTACGAGGATGAATGGTTCTTAATGAATTTGCTCCAGTTTATTTAGTTCAGCACATTATCCCACTCGGCATTCAGTGTTGAAGGTCTATTGCGTAAAGTGCCCTAACTAGCTAATAACCTTACCCAGAAATAGGATGTCCGATTAAATGTCCGTCGTACCGTATCCAGTATTTAGGAAGAGATACGTCGTCGTTTAAATTGGTAGATCTACTTACTACGTAGGTATATGACTAATCCTACAGGTAGGTAACAGATTTACAGACGTCTATTTTTAAATATTAGTTTCAAGTGATAGGAATTTGCTATCAATGTTTCTATCATTTCATTTTTAACCAATTAATTTAAGTAAGAATAAAATTGTCTAGTGGGCCTAAACATTCCAGACAAGCAATTTGGTGGTTATGTACCTACTATGCGAATGGCTGAAAACTTCAAAAATAAAATAAACACGAGTACATTGTTAATATATTAAATATCAATTACACATAAAATAAACCTGTTGCCCATAGAAATGTGTGCGGCTGGTGTAATCGTGAAGGCTGACGACATTGCATATTCCGTGCATGCTCTAGACATTGGCGTCCAACGCGCTTTTGCATCAAAAATAGCTACTGAAGACGCGCTAAACGTAAGTTTACGCGGCTGAGCGGCCGCCGCGGCCGTGTGCCCCGCTCCATACGCATTTAATAAAGATCACAAATCGTGGTGCAGTATTCCAGTGTTGTTATTGCGCGTTATCAAGACGGTATCACAAGTTATAATTATTATGTTTTGGAAGTGAAGCTATCGGCAGCTGCTGTCAACGAACTATTCACTCGAAGATCTTCCATCTTTGGCAGCGGAAGTAGCGCCGGATGTCCCGGCAATGGGTGAGCGGTGGCATATGAATGCTTAACAACAATGCTCGCATCTTCGTTCCCATATTTTCTATGCGATCCGTGTCCTGCCGAAAGTTTGTCAACCTTTATTTTTTGTATTTGTATTCGTTTATTGCTCTATAGATAGATTTATAAAATCGTTTTGCCCTTGCTAACCCTCACCGAATGTTTCATAGATTGTAAATTGAATTTTATAAGTTAGTCTTGACGAGGGTCTGGGGCTTATGTGGTCAATTTCCTGAGCGTAAATGTGTATTGTTTTTATCAAACATCGAATATTGGTTTGTTTTGTGATGAAAAATCAAAAGTGTACTTATTTAAGATTCTCATCACAGTGACTAGGTACCTTGAATAAAACATATTTTGACACGCACCTGCCTGCAATGTAAGATCATATTTTTGCAAACAACAAAGTTCGCCATTATGGTCTGAGAAACTCTTGTGTGAAGTGCTGGGTCCAAGGTTCGTGGCGTTTGTAACCGCTGAAGTAGTAGCTCATTATATACCAGTCCTTGTTTCTGAAGAATGTAAGATTTTAATTGCGGAACATGTTCCTACGCCTTTCGTTTAAATTTATTCTCACTCTTGTTACACAAATTATCTTCCGAGGCTTTGAACGGAATCTCATTATCATCACATCACATATGCCTAGTTTAATTAATAGATAGTTTAAGTGCTCTACATACAACCTAACTAACTTTTAACTTCATTCATGAAGCTCTATCTATAATAAAGTTAACACTAACTACCTAGTAACTACTCACTCAACAAAATTGTAAAAGCTTTGTTATATGTTGACGTTAACTTTCAAACATTTGTTAATTAAATTAACAGAGGATTACTTACGGGCATTTTACATTAAACCCTTTATTTATTGAACGCTTATTTTAATTATAAAGTTGTTGTAATAGTTTTTGACTCTAGATCGGTAGACTTGTTCACTTGCTACCATAGGTGCGTAATCAATCTATCATTAGGATTTTATATTTTGAGTATATTTTTTGTCATATAAATATTGTATAACATAACGTTAAGAGTGAATTTAAAAAGCTTATACTAGTTAGTGTCTTCTTCAACACCTCGTGACTGATCATCGCTAAGATTCGCGCCTTAAGACGGTTTACCATAATCTGAATATAAGGCATACCAAGCCATTTTATAAATAACTAGGTACTCCCGCGCGGTTTCACGCGCTGCTCGGCTCCATTTGATTGTAGTGTGATGTTTTATAGCCTATAGCACCCGGGAACATTGCAGCTACCAATAAGTGAAAGAATTTTAGGAATCCGACCAGTGGTTCCAAAGATTACCCCCTACATGCAAACTTACAAATTTTATCTCATTATAATATTAGTATATGTAGATACGAGTATATCGATAGAAAATTGCGTTTCTAGATCTACACTTCTAGCTAAACTTGATAGGATTAAGCTATGCCACTAACCACAACGCGCGATTGAAACAAAAACAAATCATTCTCAACTATGTTGTGTATCGTAAAATTAATTAGCCCACTGAGCTCAGAATAATATTATGTGTGACATTGACAGTATGGGGTACTGTTAGCCGTGCCAAATAGATCTCCTACGGCTACGGTAGCCGTGCCGTATTCAAAGAAGGCAACAATTAAAACTTTAATATTCATCCAATGTACCACGAAGGACTATAAAGAGCTAGATAACGATCCTAGTTTAAAAATAAGCTAATTTATATTTACAAACGTGTGTCCAAGTTCAACTAAACTTATTTATTACGTAGTTAATTTGTTACTACCGTGAAGTCGTTCCTTATATCTACATAACACGCTTTACATTCCCCGAAAGGGTAGACACAGGTTCATAACCGTACATTAAATCCACCCAC